CACGTGCGCGAATTGACAACATAGATCACGACTTTTTATCCTTATCTTTCTACGAGTACTACTTACGTATGTACAGACTGTAAACATTGATTGCTAAATCTAATATTATAGCGGGCACTGTTTACAGAAAATAAGTTCATTGATTTCTTACATAATTTATTGACAGCGATAACTTGTTTTTTTATTCTATTTTAAAAAGCGAGCCCTCTTACACGTGGTCAGGAGATAAAAATAGTTAGAAATTTTCCGGCGGGTCTTATGAATTTATCAGTGTGTTATTTGTTATTGCTGGGGTAACAGTCAATTATATATTATTGTTAACTATGTATAAAAGTAGGTATGTGACTAGGAAGTACTTTGGAAAATAACATATAACGCAGATAGATACGGTAATTAATTATATTATGGTCTATTTATACCGAGATTATGTGTATTAGGTATTTGCCATTTTACTATCAATCTGCAATGTGCTATCTTCATGCAATAATGTTTTCCCGGTACGATAAGCGCATCGAAGTACTTAATTAAGCATTTAATGTTGTGGTGCATCTCCTGAATAAGACTAATATTGACATTATACTACGTAATTTAAGATTTATATTTTGTCTTTGTTTTACACCAACACTACGTACCTATATCTTGCAAAACTGAAGTAAGTACATAGGTATATCTAAAATTAGTAAACGTACACTCACAGTTACATTGCAAAATTAAATAGGTATATCGAGTAAGAATCATTATCCTGATTTGGATATTTACTATCACACCAGAAATCTACCAAGAATTAATTATCAAATATGTATTTGTCACTTTTCAAAAAAATGTACCTAATTTATTTTGAAATAATTATCTTAACTAATCATGATTTATAAAACACTGTAATGTAAAAAATAAGTAAGTACAGATCTATACTTGAGTAGTTCTCACAGTGTAATAGGTACATCTTAATGTATGAATTGGGTAAATAATGTGGTGTATTTAGTATAAAACAAAGTCGCTATCCGCTGTCTGTCTGTCCCATTGTATGCTTAGATCTTTAAAACTACGCAACCGATTTTGATGCGATTTTTTAAAAGATTGATTCTTAAGAAAGGTTTACCTATATGTATACTACATAGTATGTATTATATGGTTTCTAATGTGATGTCGTAAATTACATAAGCATTGCATCCGTGCGAACCCGGGGCTGGTCGCTAGTACCTCCTAGATATAATAAAGAAGTTTTAAATATTTCTGTGAATGTTTCAAATATCCTTTGGAATATAGCCCATCTTATATTTGAAACGTCCCATCTTTTTCTAATCATATGTCTTGTCACACATAATATGTACAATAATATTTTTGGAAAGAGGGCTCGTGTATACTTAACCTGAGTAAACATAGGTACATACATAATTATAAAAGTACAAATAGAAGGTCGGTGTAAGCAAAGTCATAGATCTGATAAGTATCATAAAACAGAAAGTAACGTGTTTGTTATCTAATGATGCTATTATTGGACATGTTCATAAAGTATCTAATAAGTAATTAGTAAATACTCTGACGTATTTAACTAGCTCATTTGTGGTTCTTATTATACATTTACCAGCATAATATTTGACGTATTATTTACTGATTGTTCTACATAATATATTGTACCAATTAGTCCTTGTCAACAGGTACCTATCTACAAATAATAAGTAAACACTATTTAATTTGCATAGCTGCAGAAAATATTAAAAAATGATTATTTTTCTACTTTCATTATCAAAAACAGTATGTTAGTATGTACCTACCCATTCGTAGAATGATCGCCATGTAACAAAGTCTTTTTGTATGGGATATTATATTGGGCAAACGTAAAAAAGACGAATCATCTGATGGTAAACGAGATACATTGCCCATTGACACTCGCGACTAAAAACTAGTTACAAGTACTTACGCCCTTTTAAAATGATTAGTTTGAGCTAAACGAAACAAAAAAATATACGTCCTAATCTGTCTACCTATAGAATATAATAATTAGGTCAGTACTATATTTATGTACTTAGTAGGTACTTGTTTATGTTTGCTTCTTGCAATACTTGACGTCACATTAAAGTGATGAATATTGACGGATATCTACCCTACTTTCATTTTTCCAAAGAACACATACATTTTACTAAATAAAAGATACAACTCGAATATTTTGTAAAAAAATGTAATAAACGTATGCTTAAATCACAGGCCCCATCATAAGCAATTTATTTAAATTGAAAATAAATTACTGAAATACCAGGACACAAAAATAAGCGCGGTCCAAAAATGTTTTTGTATTTAAATTCCATTTCAGCTTCATTTCCGAACGGAAGTTTATGAAATTTGTTAGTAGGTCCTATGTTAAAATTAAAACATGCTGTATAAGATGTTTATCGTGTACCTAAATGGAAAATCCCGCTGAAGGTAACCATTCCATACGAATATAGTACTCTGTTTGTTCAAGTTCTACTATTACTTAACGACACCAACACTACAGTGTGTGCACTATCAACAATGCTGATATTTTTAATGGACGTAACGTTAGAAAAAAAAAACACAAACAACAATTACAAAATTTTGTTTAATAAATTATTCTAATAAACCTAACTAATTAGAGATATTATCGTGCTTATTGTGAAGGCTTACTATCCTAGTCTCGACATCTATGAAAATTATACCAATTTATTAAACGGATACATGTGATATTTATAGTGGTGACCTGAGTAACATTTATTTATTATAATTTCTTTCTGACTTTCCTATTGAAGACAAAGAAGTTAGTATGACTTTGAGTTACATTTTTAGATAACAAAGATCAATAACATTTAGATGTAGGTGCATTTATCTTGCTATGAATAGATCTATCAGATGCAATTTACCGAGTGCATTGTAGCTATCTACTTGATCAATTGCGGATAGCAATATTTTTGAAGCAACTTTTTATTGAACAAAAACCCTTTGTGTAGGTAAATCCCATGACCTTCATGTCTTCTTCGTTATTCCAAATTACCTAACGTTCTTTTCCATCAAATATTATTACAAACTCCTTCCTTTTCATGTCATTCTAAACACAATCTATTCGTCTTTTCATTGGTCGTCCTCTTCCTTGCTATCCTTCCACATTTAAATTCAGAACACGTTGCTTTATTTTTTAAAAGTTTCCAAATTATTCTTCACATTTTTGCTAACAAATAAGTCTTCTCCAAATTGTCATTCTTCGATTTTCGACCTTATGACAATTCGATAAAGATCTGTACCTACATAATATGTTGTTAGTAGAACAATTGGTCGGTAGTAGAAATACTCGTGGATATTCATATTTTCCTATTATGCAGTTGCAGTTGCATGCTTCTAACTTGTATTAGACAGAGGTTAATTAACTCCATTCATCTAAATTAATGAACTAAATATAAAGACTAGAGGTTATCCATGTTTGCAACTAAATAGAATGAACACAGTTACATAACTAGTTAATTATGTACTGAGTTGATATCGTTTCTGTTAATTGCGTAGGTAAGGTTGTATCTTTTAGTTCAATATGAAGATGCTTAAATTAGTTACATATTGAATTAAATAATACAGGAGCATCTTTTTAAAAAGTAGGAACAATAATTATAATCCTACCAAAAGATCTTACATGATGAGAGGGTAGATGGCGCTCTGAAGCTTGTTCCTACCCTCATGCATGGGGCAAGGCGTTATTTCAAGTATGTATTATGTCTGTGAAGGTACCTATACCTATCTAAACTATTTAATACAAACTTGTGCTTCAAAATACTATGAAGTTGTAGATTACCTACCTGTAGTAAAACCCTTTAATTTTTAACACATATTTGACAAACATCTCAAATACGAACTCATGGATTTTATTTTTCCTCGTAATAAACGCTAATATTCAACCATTGTGACAAACAAAACAATTATAATAGGTGTTTAAATTTAATACCAAGATTATTTGCTAAATGTGTGAGCTGTCTGCGCCTTAAGTGCTCATGCGGCCGTCCTATGGCAGCGTGACGCTGGCCGCGTGGTCGGTGACTTTTGTCATCATGTACTCTTATCTCTCGACGCTACTGCACTGATAATAGAAGCGGTATTATTTTCATTGGCTGCGCGGAGGGCGTGCGCGCCCCCGCCTGCCTCTATAAAATCGACATACTTCAAAATAGTTCTACATTTATTGATCTCGCGCCGCGCTTGTCGCGTCACGTTTGTCTAACAAACGTGCTATTAACACACCTTAATTATACTTAGTATTTATTAATTTTAGTTTTTTATAACGGTAAGTTTCGCATTTTATTTTAAACTTTTCAATTCATTACTTAATTTTGGTTTTTTAATGAATTGATTGGTTCATTATTGAAGTGAACACTTCTGAAACCTATTGGTGTTACCCAGATTTTAAAAGTGGGCTCTAAAAGATTTTTAATTACCTCTTTTGAGGATTCGATAGATTCACTTAGCAGCTTCTACGCAAGATAGTTGCACAATTTTCTAATTGAATAACCTTGCTCGTTTGTATTATTTATAAGAATTTAAAGACCAGGCCATCCATAAAGTATCTACATATAAACTAATAACGAATGTCTTAATCCATTCGAAATACACCCGGTTTGTTACGGTGTATCCAACGAAAGAATACTTATCTTATACTATTTCAACGGATATTATTAAATACTTATTACCTAGGTGCCTGTAGGTCGTTTTAAATTTCAATCCACATTTATATCCATATCCAGATTTCTAGGTAGATTCGTACTACTAACTCGTTCTGATAATTGTTATCCTCACGGATTATTTCAGTTTACGTTAGGTAATGTCGTGCTTGGGATAGGTATCGTTTCGAACAGCCAAAGTTACTTTTTTATAGTATTGGTCTTAACTCTAGTCTCCGAGCTGTAGATTTTAACTAAAATTAATGGTTTCCTGTTTTTCTAAACCATTTTTATTTAACACTAAATTTATAAATGTGTTTGTTTCCAGAAACTTAACACAGATTAAAAATGGCTTACCTACAGTCGATGCCCAAATCTGAAACTATCAGACTGCGTGAAAAGCATGTGGGGTAAGTTGCGATTACATATTTTAACACAGTGTCTAATAATTAGAACTGTTTTCATATGAATTGTATAATCGAAGTTCAATAAGGAAATATATCTGTAACGTAGGAATTGGTCAGAATCATACACACATTGATTCGGAGCTATGAATTTTTAAACAAATTGAATTTGTATATTCGATTTCCTCTTGTTACTTTAAGGGATATTTAAAACATAATTATTTTACACATGTCTCTTTCTATCGTTGTTCCGAATGAATTAATGTTATAACAAGCCAATTGTTGTTTTAGTGCTGCGTGCCAACTGTTCTTTCGTTCGTCTCCTCTGAAAATTGTCCGCGGTGTCGCCCAATACATGTATGATGAGACGGGCGAGAGATATCTCGACTGCATCAACAATGTTGCACACGGTTAGTACAAATTGACGTTATCTTATTGCGCAGAATGCGTTTTCGCTTCAGATCATAAAACCAGTGTTGGTTACAATTCTATTAGCGCGTTTGATATAACTAGTTAATGTCAAATTCTTTCAATTTCCACTCGAAACGTTAAAAAACGTTGTTTTATATTTCAGTTGGCCATTGTCACCCACACGTAGTGGAAGCAGGCAGAAACCAAATGTCTTTAATTTCCACGAACAACCGTTACCTCCACGATGAATTAGTAATCCTTGCTGAAAGGCTCGTCAAAACCTTGCCAGAACCATTGTCCGTCTGTTTCTTTGTCAACTCTGGCTCAGAAGCTAACGATCTTGCCTTGAGGCTTGCCAGAATACATACCAAGAATAAGGATGTTATCACCCTGGACCAGTAAGTATTTTTATTCTTCAAAAAAGAACTTAATTGATCTCGGGGTAAAGTCTCTTTTAGTTTGGGAACGTAAGATTGCTCCTGTAAAGTTTTAAAAGGATAATGCTCTATTCAGGACTTTTTACGATTAGTTCACTTTACAAACACCGGAATGTGTGTTATACTATTACTTAATAAGATATTGTTACTTAAGATAACGCGGTATCTACAATGTAGTAAAAGATAGTAACCGCGTCATCAGCACGCTGTCATGAAGTGAGCACTATTCTTTAGAAACTGTACAAGTGAACCTGTCCTTAATAATTTTGTCATAAATGGGGTTGATCATATAAATTTCCGGTATTTGCTTTAGACCATTAAATGGTAATTATGTCGTCCGTTTTCGATACTCCTTCGTAGTTTTGTGGTTACTTCGAGCTAGTCGAAGTGTTATTAGGGTGCTACTAGCGCCTGTTTGTTACAGCGCGTATCATGGCCATCTTACGTCTATGATTGATGTGTCTCCATACAAATTAAACCTACCCGGAGGGCCCGAGAAGCCAGAGTGGGTTCATGTGGTAAGTTACACATATTGACTAGGTTGCACTCGATCCCAAAGTTGCATTAGTTTAGGATATCTATCCCCTTATTTCATTTATCTATTCTTATCTCACAACTATATTGATAACTCAGTTTCATTTTATGCAATAAAACTGATAAGTACAGAATTGTTTGAGATGATAAAAATAGCCTGTGACTTTCGGATAAGAGTCGTGAACTGAATCATAATTACGCACCCCAAGGTAGATACTACTTTAATTAACTGTTTTTTTTCTGAAATAGATAAAGACCTCATTAACGAATTATAAATAACTTTGTTAATTTATTCAGTGCGCGCACACACGGACTCGGTCTTGAACGTAATGAAATTTAAGATATTGTAGGTTACCTATTTTAAATTAACTACCTAGGTTTAAAAGCATATTGTTAAAATCATGTTTAGTTGGAAATTCTGGCAAAATAAGCTATTAGGAACAAAGAACACAAACATATTTTTTCTTTATCATTAATTCAGTTAAAGATTGTGCATTATTGAATTTGTTTCATTCTAATCATCTGACAAATCTTCGAAAATTAGAAAACCGTCTATACCTAACACCTTACTTAACTTCATAGATCAACTTTAACTGAATAATGTTCCTAATCATTTGCTATTTGACCCTATTTAGGCACCAGTTCCCGACATATACCGAGGAAAATACGTATACCCCGATGACTCTCAAGATGAAGAAGAATTAGGAAAACTGTACGCTGATGAAGTCGGCAAGATCTGCAAAGAGAGTAAGCGCAAAAATGGCGGTGTATGCGCATTCATTGCGGAAAGTCTTCAAAGTTGCGGGGGCCAAATCATTCCACCTGATGGTTACCTCAAAAGAGTTTTCCAGTAAGTGAACACTAAATGTTTTTGGTTGTTTTTTTATGGCATAAGCCGGTAACCGAGCAGACGGATCACCTGATGGTAAGCAATCGGCGTCGCCCATGGACACCTGGAACACCAAGGGCATTATAAGTGCGTTACCGGCCTTTTGGGCGATTAGGAGTTTGAGGATCGTTGGGGATTCAGGAATTGGAGAGATTGGGGAAGGGGAGGGTGATTGGGCCTCCGGTAACCTCACTCACACGACGAAACTCAACGCAAGCGTTGATTCACGTCGGTTTTCTGTAAAGCCGTGGTGTCACTCCGGTCGAGCCGGCCCATTAGTGCCGAAGCGTGGCTCTCTCACACTTAGATCTAATAACTCCATTTATGCAATTTTGTACCATGTGCATTCATATTATTATATCAATAGTGAATTGTAGCTAAAATAAGATATCAATCATTGCAACAACCTTGTACTCTATTTAGATGCAGTATTGGCTATTACACAGATAGCAAGATCATTAGCACAAATTGACCTATTGGTGATTGTTTACAATAATGTCCGTATCCATTAAATGAATGCTCGGTCTAATTTATATTTCCAAATGATTGAAAAATATTTATATGGATGCGTAATGTGTTAATGATGGTATTCAATTAAGTATACCACATTATAAGGGGTCGTAAATAGCTAAAACTGGTATCATAAGAAGCAATGAAAAAAAAGTAAATAGAAGGACTTGAAGAAAAAAGATTATGATGGTCAATGGTCAACAGTAAATAAAAAAACTCCTTTTACAGGCACGTTCGTGAAGCTGACGGCGTATGTATAGCTGATGAAGTCCAAGTTGGTTTTGGACGAGTTGGTACCCATATGTGGGCATTTGAGACACAAGACGTCGTTCCTGATATTGTCACTATGGGCAAACCTATGGGCAATGGACATCCAGTAGCTGCTGTTATTACTACCCCCGAGATTGCGAAAAGCTTCGCCGATACTGGAGTGGAGTATTTTAATACGGTAAATAATAAATATTCTATGCAAATATTTGATGCGTGTAATAGGGATGTTTCAAAAACAATCATGGAGTTTTCGATTTATTAATTTATGTAGTTATAAGATTTTTCTTTGTGACGTCATAGTGTATTTTTTGCGTTGGCTAGGATACTTTTCCTTATAGGTAAATTGACTTGAAAAATAGAAAGAACATGATTACAAAATGTTTTGGTGCAAATGTTATTGAGTCGTAAGAGTATTTATTGTCTTGACTGAGTAAAAATCCCAATTGAGTGGAATAATTCGAAAACAACAGTTTTTGTTGTTCAAGCTACTTATTATTAGCAGTAACAAACAACTAAGCATGACGTTTGAAACTACGCTTGTACATATGTTTGCTGCGCTAATCGAGTGATGCAACACCTGTTTTTAATATCTCCGTCCTAAGTGCTTGGCAAAACAAGCTGATAATATTATGATATAGTTTCAGATCTATTTATAGACGATATCAACTAGTTACGTATTGTCCTACGTGACCTATCTCGCTTGAATGTAGATTGTAGATAGGGGATCGTGTTATAAATACTCTTCATGAAACTGGTGACAGTTGATGTCTTATTAATATATCTCCGAGGAGGTAACTGGAGATGAACAATGCATGTTATGTTAAGTGTACATACAAGTATTTTTGCCAGATCCCATGTCCCATGTAATAGGATGAGAGTGTGACCATATCGTACCAGACATCTTTGTAGACTCTTTGTTAATTTAACGTTTAAAAAACCAATGATACTTCGACCTACTGCTCGCGCAACGACTTAATAATTTCTTTTTAATTTTAATCGACATACTTGTTTTTATTGCAGTATGGAGGCAACCCCGTCTCCTGCGCCATTGCCAATGCAGTTTTGGATGTGATTGAAGAAGAGCGTTTAATGGAGCGAGCTAACCGCGTCGGCAACCACTTAATAAACCGGTGTCAACAGCTCAAACATAAGCACAGCTTAATTGGAGACGTTCGTGGAAGAGGATTATTCGTTGGAGTTGAGCTGGTGACTGATAGGGAGACAAGGACACCCGCTACTGCTGAAGCTAAGCATATTGTGAATAGGTAAATAATCCAATACTATACATACAGTTACAAAAAGTTATACTTTGTTTTCAATAGGAGTATCAATAAAATATCAGGACTATTTGATTACAGTGTATTTGAAAATAATACCTCCATTACTTTTGTCTGTTGGTGATGAAGTCAGAAACAACTGAACAGATTTACATGCAATTTACACGAGTGTTTCGGCAGATTCTTGGTTACTGTGACTACTGGGAAAATGTGATTTTGCCCTAAACATTACATAATACACCCACAAGATGCGAGTTAATTGTTCCTATAAAAAATATTTGTTTTCAGGATGAGGGAAGAAAAGATTCTCATCAGCCGTGATGGTCCGGACAGCAATGTACTGAAGTTCAAACCTCCCATGGTGTTCTCAACACAGGATGCTGATAGACTCGTTGATACTTTAGACCGAGTATTGGAAGAACTGGATGGAAATCAGGCGCCTGTTACTAGCATCAAATTACAAGTACGTTATCTTAATGTTAAGAGATTGTTTTATCTTTTATTTATACCTTAGGTAAATAAAAGGCATGATGTTGAGGTTGAATAAGATGACTCGGGTTCAATTCTTAAACCATTATTGGGTTTTCCCACTTTCGAAATTGTCAATAACAAACCAGACGGTCTATGTATTACCTACATGAGACCAATTAACTGGCCAAAAATGAGTGTAGTATTTAAAATGTACACCCTTCGCGAATTAAACGTTGTCTCAGTACGATCCAATATTTTTTAACAATTCCAAAGTCTCGAACGAAGTCTCATGAATGAATTATTTATTTTCAGGTGCTAGTGACGCCCATCGACGAAACGAAAACAGAGTCGGCAGCTTTAAATACCACCGTTAAACAGAGCATTAAGAGTTCGTGACTAGAATAATAATTTTATATCTTAAAAATAACTTAAGTATTAATCGAAATAAGGCTGTAAATATAGTTACATAAGTTTATATAATAAACTCTAAATATAAGTACTTAAAATATAATTTTGTATAGCTACTAAAAAGTTCATGTTACATACATTATTGTTTACTTATGCACAGACGTTAGTAGATCAACCTACTCCTTTCTGTCAAATTACGTTATCAGATTTTCAACTTTATTGTTTTGGCATAAAGTCGAAAATCCGATGAATAATACTGATAGATTTGAATAGGCCTGGTCCTGGATAAATAGAGATGTGATGATGTTAAGGTTTAAGTACTTACTTCGAATAAAGAATCAATGCAATATTTTTTTACGTAAATTGATAATTATAAAGATTTTTTATACTTACTACTCACGTATTTTATTTATTTCCATACAGATTTCGCCAATGCCTGGTAGCTGGTAGCTTTTGCGTCGACGATAAATTATAGAGATTTTTTAATTAGATTGCTAGATTTTGAGCCTAATAGATGGTAGCAGATTCGACGTCTATAAAAAAATATAAACTCTTAAAAACGGGTTGCATTTCTGCAAAGAAATAACGTATGGTATTGCTGATTAAAATATTTATTTTGTTTGGTTATAAATACATGTAAAATATGCCATCCATTTCACTAGTCTTTTCATCAGTCCACAAAGTTACAGAACAAAAACTTAAATTAGAATAAACTGAAAGTACTTGACTTCCTTGAAGGAAATGCTTATACATGGTTAATATTTATATAAAAAAAAAATTAAACACGGAAACTCGGTATATGTTAAATCTTGAGATCTTCATATTATTCTAAGATTTTGTACTATGTGAAGCCTAGCCCAAATTATTTTTTGGCTGGCGTTTTCCCATATTCAACATTTTTGTACAATGTTTCATAATTATCTAGAGTCACAAGTACAAGTGGCTTGTAACAAGGTTTGTGTATTTTGATTTCCTGCAGCAGTTCATAGCCTGCTGACCCCGGGGTAAAAAGACAGTCTCTATAACTAGCAGTGTGTTCCTCATTACAATTCGCACATTTAGGTGGCTCTTTCTCTGGATCCCTCTCACATTTCTTGGACAAATGTTCTCCTGCACATTTCACACATTTAATTTGCCCATGGCAATACCTTTGAGAGTGACCCCACTTTTGACAGCGATGACATTGCTTTGGTTTCGTGTTTGGAGGCTCCAATGTCACCTTATGTCCTAACAGCTTAGACAATTTCAAAATTACTTTCCCGCTTTCATCGTAAGGTACAACTGCCAAAACTAATATTGTATTATCCTTTCTATCTTCTTTGGTATTCATTTTATGCACTCTTATGACAGGAAGAGAAACAGATTTCAATGTATGTTTGACTTTGTACAAATCTATTTCCTTTGGCAGCCCCCTGATGACAACTTTCATTTTCCTTTTAGAAGGATGCCCAAATGTGTGGTAAGGTAATTGTTTTTTGTCGAAATATTTTGTCAAGTGTTTGTGGTCATTAAAGCTTTGACAAAGTATTTTGGTGTAGTTTTTACCGAGGTTCGGTTGATAGAATTTAATTCCCATGTTTAAAACTTTTTTTACATGTGGTTCAAAGTCAACTGGTTTATGCAGGAAGACAGGTGGTACTTTATTCTTCACTTTTGGCCATTTTGCGAGCACTTCTGGGTTTATGTTTGTATCTAAAATAGTTTCACCTGATTGTGGTGCTGATGATGTTGGTGATACTGCTGCTGCGGCTGCTGAAGTTGAGGCTGCTGTGGCTTTTGACGTTGATGGGGTTGCCGGTGATGCTACCGGTGCTTTTGATGACGATGGTGTTGCTGGTAATGCTTTGGCTGATGCCTTTGATGTCGATGGTGTTGCTGGTAATGCTTTGGCCGATGCCTTTGATGTCGATGGTGTTGCTGGTAATGCTTTGGCCGATGCCTTTGATGTCGATGGTGTTGCTGGTGATGCTTTGGCCGATGCCTTTGATGTCGATGGTGTTGCTGGTGATGATTTTGCTGGTGCCTTTGATGTCGATGGGGTTGCCGGTGATGCTGCCGATGCTTTTGATGTCGATGGTGTTGCTGGTGATGCTTTTGCCGGTGTCTTTGATGTTGATGGTGTTGCTGGTGATGCTTTTGCCGGTACCTTTGATGTCGATGGTGTTGCTGGTGATGCTTTTGCTGGTGCCTTTGATGACGATGGTGTTGCTGGTGATGCTTTTGCCGGTGCCTTTGATGTCGATGGTGTTGCTGGTGACGTTTTTTCCGGTGCCTTTGATGTCGATGGTGTTGCCGGTGATGCCAATGCCAGTGCTAGTGCTTCTTCTTTTGATGTGAAAGGCGTTCCCGGCGATGCTGAAGGTGGTGCCATTGGTTCGGATGGAGTTACCGGTGATGCTGGTATCGATGCTGTTGATGTTGATGGGGTTCCTGGTGATTCCGGTATCGATGCTGTTAATGTTGATGGTGTAGGCGGTGTTGCCGGAGATGTTGGTACCGATGTTTTCGATGTTGATGGTGTGGTCGGTGACGTTGTCGATGCTGCTGCCTTTGATGTTGATGGTATTGCTGGAGATGCTGATACCGATGCTGTTAATGTTGATGGTGTTGCCGGTGATGCTGGTACCGGTGCTGCTGCTGCCTTTGATGTTGATTGTGTTGCCGGTGCCGATGCTGTTGCTGTTTGTGATCCTCGTTTCTTGTGTGATGAAGATGGTGCAGTCGAAGTTGTTGATGAAGATTGACTGGTTCCGGGTTCTGATATAGTAAACCCTTGTAGTGCTTTAGTAAGCTTCTCGACCTTCCCTTTCTGCTTCGACTTCTTTTTTGTCATTTTTTATTCTGAAAAAATAAATGTTATTTTATATGTAAGTCATTATAGAAGTAATTTATTTATCTAACTTAATGACTTAGATTAAATAACTCAATAGTTATTTAATCTGATTCAATGCAGTTATTGTCAGGGAAACTCATTGAATATACAGGGTGTCCCTGAAGTCGACGATCAAATGGTACCAGGTGATCGGCAAGGTTCCTACAGTTATCAGAAAAATATAAAAAAATCCAAGCCAGATAGCTTTTAAATTACAATGACTTATGTGAGGTCCACGAAAATTTACAACCAGTGCCAGCCTTTTGTCTCTTATTGCTGCAATTCTTTATTTTTTCGTCTGTATTTTTTTTATTTACGTTATCCTGAATAGTTCTTTTATATTATGGAATCATACATTCTGAACCAACTGCTTTTGTAAACTAAAAAGAAAAAATAATAATTTTTTGATGATGAACCAATGTATTCTCAATAAAATTTTCACAACAGCGGTAGTAGTGGTAAATTTCACCAAAGTGAGCACATTTAATAACCGTGATGTTTATGTTCTACACAAAAAGTATTTTTCAACGAAAACCTCATTTCGAACAATTTATTTGAACTTACTAAAATTTATTCTAGTATTCCAAAAGTGCACCTAAAAGCCTCGTATGCACTAGGTAACACTTTGCAGGCGATACGCCATCATCGTGTTGCTAAACATGTTGGGAATCACTCACAATACTTGGATTTTTTTTTATATTTTTCTGATATCAGTAGGAACCTTGCCGATCACCCGGTGCCATTCGACTTCAGGTACACCCCGTATTTGTTAATATGTACTTTTTAAAAACACACTCTCATAATATCTAAAACAACGAAAGGAAAAATATTTCCTAAGTCAAAGACAATTGGATAGTGAGTGTTCGAATATTAAGTGATAGTAAATCTAATGTAATAAAGATTTAATAAAATCTATGTTATTTTAGTCGTTCGTAAAGTATAAGGTATAACTTACCTTAAAAATAAACTCGTACAAAAATTATTAGATAAACACACTTGTCTAGGTAATCGTTAAAAAGTCTTGTAAAATGTTGTATAGAAACCCACATTGCCAATTACAAAGTAGGATCGAAAAATAAAATCGTAATCTACCCGCTTAAATACACTTTTTTCTCCCTTTTCAATCAAGGTAAATTAGGTTCAACTTCGACTACTGGTCTTTCTATATTTCTATTTGTGAACAAACAATTAATGTGACTAATATTCTAGATCTGTGCAATATGTCTATTTATAAAAAAGGAAAGGAATTTTCAATACAATGGAAATACGTTAAAAATATACCCTGATTATTTTAAAACAATTTATCAAGTACAGTCAGCGACAAATAATCTTACATCTAAGTATTTCAAGTGAAATAAAAATAATACAATCAGAAAATAGGTCATCTGCACGGCTTTGTTAGACAGACACCTCAGGAGTATTTTGCCTGAACGGAGAACATCGATTCTCCGTTCAGGCAAGACCCGAGCCCTTTGCTCGATAGTAGTAAAAAGTTACATATTAACTTACACAAATTATTAAGACTATTGATTAATGCAGTATCTAAATGCAACCATAACGTATTAGACTAACGTACCTACAGACTATTTCTTGTTGCATGCCTAAATTCAATGAACAATATTTGGCGAAGACAAAATGCACGACTCAGTAAACTGTTCTAAAGCATATTTATTTTATAAGCGAACAAAAACATAAATCACAAAATCTTCCGCTCCAAATATTGTCAATGCCGTGTAGTCTTTCCGACAAAGAAATCAGACCTTTCCAACTGTCTTTATCATTGAGCCATCTATTGAGCAAACTGACTTTACTGGCTGTATAAAAAATATACAATAACTTTCGACGTTGAATGTACTGTTGCGGCCCGTTTTCGCTTACGATGCAGTAAGAGTAATGCTCCTTTTGATTTTTATGTGTACGAGATATTGAGCTTTGTTCAAGTACCTACCGACAGATTCTATAGTATTGTGTACTCATGTATACAAAATATTAAAATATTGTATGCCTTATGTAACTATACTGTACTTGGACTTTCGGATCAAGCCTACACTGAGTGATTTATTGTTATTTAGTGAATCCTGTCAAGTTCGTTCATAACCTACCTATCTTATCTATCTATATCTCCCCATTTAATATTACTAATATTTAGATAACCATTACCATTGCACATATTCCTCAAAATCTTTATAGGGTCTGCTGAACCTTTTTTATTACACTATACGGTTTATCCGAAGAAAAAAATTGTATTATCAGTGTCGTCAATATTATAACAAAAATCCCATAGCCGTTTACTTTATGTATGGTTCAATACTTTTTATGTTGTAACCAAGACGTGGCGCAGCCGGCCCAAGCACGTGCGCAAACTTGCCACCGACGACCGTTACATCAATCTTGTCTACCTTGGTATGTTTTGTGCAAGCTTTTCTTGCACAGATCCTTTAAAATTCAATTCTTAGTCCCTTTGCTTTTGAATAAAAAATGTTTAGCGCTGTTTGCAGCGGTTACGACGTTGTGTCACTGGGTGTTCCGGCACCTTCTGTAGACAATGAAGGTATTCAACGTCTGGACAATGCGCGAGGATCCCGTGCTACAGCGATTAGCCGGATTTATTTAACGGTTCTGATCTCAAGGATGACCTCGCAGATATCGGGGTGTCTGCCTAAGAATCTGCGTATATTTTATCGTTCGAGGGGAAGTTGTGATCACGGGATAACGTCTTTTGCGAACTTGTATCTGTAACGGTTCCTTTTATTTATATTTTATACTTATGTAATAAAGTAAGTACTTGTTCTCATTCTTCTGGTTGTTACTGGTTCTGGTGAGAAAAAACAGCGCTGCGACGGTTACAAGAGATAATTATAAATAGCTCCATTTTAAAGTATACGATGTATACATTTACATTTGTATACTGACTCTCTCTGTATTCAATTTTTTTTACCTGTGTGCTACGTACTAAATAACTTGGCTGACTGTACCTACCATAATATTTATTTTTGTCGAAATTTTCATTCGTCTTATTGTTCCAAAATGTTCATATTATAATCATTGTAAAGTGATAGGGGAGTAATTACGATGGGAAACGATTACCGAAAGTGGTTTGGCACGCGCGCCACCCGCATGCGACATGCGATGGCTCATGTCGGTTCGTGACGTCATCCTATCTCGCGGCTCGACTACACTTCCTAAAATCAAAGCTGTGTACCTACCACGTAGCACGACCTAACATGCCGCCTCAAACCTAACAAGATAGATCTAAATTGAATAACACATTTGGTGCTAACTGTAACTATATGGGTGTCTTCTACGATAAAAATTAAATTAGATAATACTAAGTTTCCTGCTATTTGCTCGGATGCAGTATTTTTTCTATTAGGTATGTATTTAGACCTGCCCAGTAGATAAATTAATAAATCCATATTTTCTACTTAAATTAATATAATATTAAACAAATTGCAGTTTGCTATCATGTTTGGTAAGTGTTAGGGTATCGAAAATGTGCCATTAAAAAACGTGTGAATAGTTCGGCAACACTTTAGTGTTCGTGTGGTGACAAATGCTGTGGGTATGCGGGTGGCACGCGTCCTTTGTAATCTGCATTGACATATGATTAATACCAATTTTGATTTTATATATTTTGTTATATGAATGTAAAAAAGGAAATTTTGATTTGTTAGATTTGTTAGGAAATTTTGATGGATGGAAAGGAAGAGGGCGACCATAGAAGATATGGCCGAGTCGACTGTGTGAGTGAAGGATATAGGATATATAGAGAAGGGAGTGATGTGATGACGTCTGATAGGGCAAAGAAGTCGACATAGGTAATGATCCCAACTCCTAATAACTTTTGGATAAAGCCAAGAAGATGAAGGAGCGTCGTAGATGTTAAATATCTTGGTAAGGTACGTCATGTTTCTAAGTTTCCGAGTAGCTCCATTTTGAAAGTTTAATAAAGCAGGGGAGAGCTTTGATATGACATAAGACTTCTTTATCTCGATGGTTTGACCTACTTATTTGCAGTGGGTCGTTACTTCCTGCGAAAATCCTTTTTTGTTATTAATATAAATCGCTCCCCATCGAGGGACGTCGGTTTGCAAGTAATGACACTATCAGTATCTAATTCAAGTAGTTGGGCATTCGTCACACTTTACGGCGAGAGGGATCGCTATGACGTGGGTATCAGAAGGATTGTCAATCATTCTGCAGAATAGCCCGGAAAGTAGTTGCAGCGAAGGATCGGGTGACAGACACCTCGACCGTTCCCGTCTGACATATTGCTCTAAACGTCCGTCGCGATCCCCAACATTTATATTCCAGTTCCGAACTCTCGATCCCAGATAATGCTTTTACAATAACGATCTGGAGATGACGACGAATTCGATTTCAATACTGAACGTCGTCCTACAGACAGACACTTATTTATTATGATAATTCACGCTCGAAATTCTTGTGTTAGAATATAAAATAGCTGTAAAATAGTTTTTTTAGAAAAAGGACGTGACTTTGAATACAATAGCGTATTAATAATGTAAATGTTTGAACTTGATGATCTGTTTATCGATCGGAAATCCAAATTTTAAACAGAAAGGACCTTCACAAAAAATCTTACAAAAAATCACTGCAAATCAGAATATCTGTAGGAAATAGTTTAAATAAAAAGAAACAAACAAGTAAATACCTGCCTATGTAGATGGACTAGCAATAAGTAACAGTAATAAATGGCAATACATTACTAGTACATTGGTTATTATCCATAACCCTAAACTCATGTAATCATACAAAAGAAGAATAAAACAAGTTTTTATTTGCGATGCAGCACCGAAATCGTGCAATTTCATTGGAATTGTTGCCAGCTGGTTGAATAAAAAGCAAATTTTAGATACACCTTGCGCCTTCGCTGTGCTTTCCCACGATGCTGGTACGAACTCCTTCGTTAGGGGACCGGGACCGACCATCTGTAAAGTAGATTCAAAAGTACGAGAGAAACTAATGAAAACATTTAGCTACACTATGGCTTTGTCGCTGCAGATTTATGCTTTAATTGTGCTGTGAGAAATGAAACTAAAATGTGAATTTTGTTATTATAATCACCAGAGCTTTGTGCAAGCTTTCTTTTTTGTATTTCCCAAGTAATTTTCTTAAATTTGATATTTGCGTATGGATATTACCTATCTTCCTTTTTATATGTTATTTCCACTTTCATAAAATAATAATGTCTAGGTATTGACGATACTTTTATTACGACATTTTCCAAGAAAAAATATTGTAGAAATGTATCTAAGTAATTCTCCTGGATAACCCTCGTGGACTAGATTTTTTCACATAAAGAGTGTTATAAATTAGTATTTCTATTACGCCGTTTCTGTCTCCTAAAATATTTCAAGCTTATTCGAAGTGCGATTATGGATGGCGTGTCCCAAAATTTCGTATCAAATTGTTTAACGGCGGGCGACCTCTATATAATACGGGGCTATGGGGATATCTGAAGAATAGTACGTCTCAATATGCAATAAAATCGGGAAACGTATGCGACCTCAGATCCGAGAGGATTTTCGAGAGCACACCTGAACTAGATTACTGTATCCGCGCTATAAAAAACCTACGTTCAATCGGGCGCCCAGAGTAAGGGCGAATTTGAAAAAGACTGGGGTTATTCCGCAGTGGTATATCAAACAGGGGAGAGTACAATGTTCCGTGTTTTTTATTCACATAAACAGTTTTACATGGGACGTCGGCGATAAAAGAAACTCGTTTACAACGGTGCGGTGGGAAGTCTTCCTCGTAGTCTTGAGTAGTCCATCAGATCTTGTCAATCAATTGTCACTTTTGTGTAGATAATGGCAATATTGTATTCGAGATGCGGTCCACGACACACCTGGTTGTAGGACTGTGTATCGCTTTTGTTACTTTTATGGACTCAGCTGTGTTTATGGGATGTTACCAGCTTTGAATTAGTTTGCAGTTAATCATCAAAATAGTACAGGGTGACTAATTAAGATTTAAAAACTTTTTACCTTTAAAAAGGTTTAGATTTGACGAGATGTATTACATATATGATACTGAGAACTTCTACTTAACAATCGCTAGATATAGGTAGGATACAATATGTATTGTGTACTTCAGCCTAGCTCCCTCTTCATGGAATATAACCCGCGATGTCACATTATCTACAGAGCAAAGTCCGTGTATTTAGTCGTTTGCGTATAACGGTATTGCGTAATAAAGTCGGCCATGTCGCGTTCTGGGCTCTTAATATTAAAAGCTTTAAGCTCACCTCACATCCTTGTCCTCATAGGTAGGTATGTCCTTTGCAATCTTTCCGTTGTTGCCACGACCTGAATCCGCTTTTGTCCCACATGAAAAGAATGGGGGCCAGAAAGCGAGTGTGTGCGTAAATAATTGAGGAGAGGCGCTCCGCCTTGTGAGGAGATGTATTAAACAAAACTCATTGGGAAGTGCGCCACGGTGCTTGCACGGGTTCGCTTCAGCACGTAAAGTTACGTATTCAATCAGGCCAACTTCGCTTTGTTAAAGATTTCGCTAGTGTGCAAGTTTAGTCGAACCAAGTTAATAATTATATTTATAGTAGTTGTTTGCTTATTTCTAAGGCAAAACATAATACAAATTGTGCTATATAAGTTGCTAGCGATCAGTACTACAATCTTAATAAATAAACAGCTGGCTAAGGCATCGGCAGGTCGTTTTTGATCGGTTTTGAAAGTTATTGAGAGAGGTCCACATTCAGTGGCGGACGTCATCATCACTTTTCCATTACGATAGCACATGACTGTAGAACACACTATTTTTTTAAAGTGTGTAAATCATCTAATGACTTTTTCCTCATAGGTGAGGCTCCCCGACACACTAAGACGATGATAAACCTAAGGTAAAATGGTATCTGAAGATGTGGTTGAACGTCGGTTCACTACTTAGGTACCTACCCCACAAAATCATGAGTCAAGACGAGTCTATCCTAAAAACGGTATTTAAGTAAAAAGTAGTAAAAACCCAAGTATTAGGTACAGAAAAGACACGAAGAGAAAAAAGTATTCACATTAATCAATTGTGAATTTTATTATTCCCGCCGTTGGTACACCGGGATCTGTTTTCAGAAAGGATTTGGCAGTGAAGCGGGTTATGATAATCGGCTGCCACCATTCCCGAACTTCCCGTGTCCCCGTCTTAGATAAATCCAACCAATCTCTTACATAAAACTTTGTAAGATATACGGCCATGAAATATTATATTATGCTGTGATCTTGAACACATAAGTAGAGCAATTTGAAGAATGAAACTGTGACAAAGTATTCATAGCGATCTTATTGATTCCTCGCTTATTTAATGCTGGCTATAACTTCCACATTTTCTTTCAACATAAATATTTAGTGTATGAAGAAAGATGGAGTGTAGATATAGAGTAGATTTTGTGTCATAAGTATTGGCTTCTAAAAGAACTAACATCGAAGAAGAAAATCCTTCACATGCGTAAAAATGTATGAATTAAATAATAATTCATTATGGTTAGATTAGATTTACTTATTCAGTAATTTAATGAAACCCATTAGCATATATTATACTAAATCTAGCTATTTGTAACACGATTAACCTAATCCATCATTGTTGATTAATTGTAAACGTAAGACGTAGGTAATTTCTATGAATAGTAACAAGTTTTAGGAGTAATGTTAACGATTTAATATTAATGAGTAACTAACAGTTGGGTACATTACCTAGTGAACTAGGCCCTATTGGTGACCAACTATGTCACCTTATTACCCAGTTTTACCTTTGTACAATGTGGTAGAATAAACTTAGGTGCTAATAAAGAGGCCATGGTGTTTCTTTGAGTTTAACCCTTTCAAACCTTTAAGAAAAGAGCGTATTCCTTTTTAAAAGGCCGGCAAAGCACCTGTCACTCCTCTGGTGTTGCGGGTGTCCATGGGCGGCGCTGATCGCTTACCATCAGATGATCCGTCTGCTCGTTTGCCTCCTATTCCATAAAAACCCTAACAATCTTTCGCATTACATATAACTACAATTATAGAATCTTGATTGAAGAATATCGTAAACAAAAATCTCGTAGTCAAAAGAAGGTAAACAAGAGGGAATAATAAATGCATATAGGTATTACAAATTGAGTCGGAGTTGGATCTCATTGTCTTTGTAGCGCACGTGCATTTCCCCCGGGTACAGGGAGGGACGTCTGAATCGCCCGGGCCTTGATGTAACCGGACCTTACTTGCGCATTTATAGCTAAAACATATGCAACGACTGGACAAAGGCCGTTCCTTTTGTTATGACTTCAATAAATTGGTATTTGAAGCTACTTTGTCGGAAGTAGGGTTGTGAGGATGTCGGTAAAAGATGAGAACTTTATAATAAGTGGAATCTTTGGGAAATAGTCTATTGTAGGTAATGAAAACTCAGTTAAAACAAAATGTCTTAAATACAGGAATGGCTACAGTTTAATAATTTACCTTACGTACTACAGCTTTTCCCAAAATAAATTAATGTAGGTAATGTTACAATTTTATTCTTAAAAACTCCTTTAACATAAAATGTTCCTCAAGTTTCTTAAACGACTCCCTTGATGGACGTAACAGAAAATTAAGTATTACCGTTCCCCGTATACTTGAAAGTACACCTTAATGTGGAGTGAAAGTATTGAAAATCAAACAAAGTGTTTGGGACGTTTAGTAGGCTACCGACAAGCGGTGCCTAGGAAAATAATTCCCAGTGGAAACATTGCAAATAGACGGCGCACGGCATAAACCGAGTGCATCGCCACAGTTCGATTGGTTAGGCGAAGGGGACATGTTCGCCCGCAGACAAATAAGGGAAAATTTACACTGGGTCACATTTGGTTCTGAGTAAAAGTTGTACCTTTCAGCAAAATGGATTCTGTTGGACCGGGGAGATCGGGAAAATTTCTGAATATAAAAAAGGAAACGTATGCCAAAAATTTCGTATTTTATATTTGTTTCGTTTGTGGATTCTCTTGTAGCGTACACTTTTCACGCATTGGTATGAAAAAAGACGAGATCCAAGTAAATACAGAGTGATCTATTTAAATCTTAATATTGCTTTAGGGACTTCTAATGTCGTAAAAGGTAATAAAGTAACAATGGAGTCCGGAAGATGAGGAGCAGGTAACAACTTCCTGTTGCGTTTAAATCGGTAGATGTTATGGTTTAATATCATCCAACAGTGTTATACTTTGTCTACATTGGTTAATGGACGCCCATAAGCTAAAGGCAATATTTTACAATTTGTAGCCGATCACTTATAGCGATCAACAATCGTACCGTTTTCAATAACCATTTTCATAATAACGCTTTCAACCTGCGTCGATTGATAAAAGGCTTACATTCATTATTTTATACCAATGTCGGCAAAGAACATAAATATTTAGTGCCCGGATTCATTTATTAAATGTTGACGTGGGCCATGTTAAGTAATTATGCAAATAATACCTACCTTATTAAAATTATTTTGTCTGTTGCGGCTACAGAAATATGACTAGATTTTAGTTTAGAAATGAAATAGTGAATTATGTTTTGCTTTAGGATTTATTTGGTGAGATACGAAATATGTTTTCGAGATAATGTGGATTTAATTGGTCAGACGCTTTAACATATTATGTGTGTTATAATGTTATCCACAAATCACTGTACCTATATCTAACACTAGCTACCCGCCCCGGCTTCGCACGGGTGCAATATGCATGTATTATATGTATAAACCTTTCTTAAGAATCACTCTATCTATTTAAAAAAACCACATCAAAATCCGTTGCGTAATTTTAAAGATCTAAGCATACATAGGGACAGACAGACGACGGATAGTGACTTTGTTTTATACTATGTAGTGATAACCACAAGTATTACAATAATTGTATCGGATATGTCGGTATGTATCTAGTACACATTAGTGTTACCGTAGTAGCTACATATCTATGTGTAGAGTGTTTATATTTGTGCAAACGTGAGAAAGCGCACGGTATTGCGGGTGGATAACATGCACCTGGTAGCTTCCGCAAGGATATCGATTTGTATCCCATCCACTTTTAATAGATATCAAGTGAAATCGAACCTGTCTTGAGTCTTGACATACAAGTACCGTTCAACTCATCTACAGTGCAGTTATTTTTGATGATATTATTACGACACAAACGTTATGCTATGCAAAGTAACATCTTGTTTTCAACAGTTATATGTATAGGTATGTGATGAGTGGGTGAGCCTATTGCCATATGACGGGAATTATTTCAGTCTCCGTGATATTAACAAAAAAAAAACACAATAATACTCGACTCGACCAAAATGGAATTTGAAATCTACCTCAGCATTTGTATTTGTGATCACCCGACGCGACCAACGATTCAGTCAATTATTATGACGTGAACTCAAATTACAAAATTGCTCATTAACCAAAATTATACCTTTCAGTATTATAATTACTCGCAATCTAGGTCACAGGCTTACAAGTCTTAAAGTTTGTTACAAAATTCCTGGACTATTCAGAATTTTCGCGATAAAACTTTAAGTAACAAAATACTTGTCCAAACTGCTAATACCAAACCTTTCTCTAAATATCTTTACTGTTCAACTTCTTAGATGATTTTTTCTAAGTCTAGCTTCGCCCGTCTGATTAATTGTTCAGATTAAGGACTTAAGTGGACAGTCAAATTGATTACATTACAACTAAATCGAAACTTACTTAGTTCTTTCATGTTGTATTAGCCATATTCTATGTATGTACCTATTTAATACATTTTTAGGTGAATCGCTTCAAAGTGTCATTTTGGGTACTTTAATAACTTTATAGATAGCGAAATAAACCAAAGTGAAACGTAAATAGCAAATAAGTAATGCAGTTTCATTCAAAATCAGAGTATTTTTAAGTAGTGCTTGATGACTTAAAGTCAAAGAATCATTGCATTACCGACCCTATTTTACCTTAATAAAATAAAGGCCTCATTATATTAAGCAAAGCACGTTCTCCGGTATCGCTGAAAAGATCTTTTGTTCGGCAGCAAAACACTTGGGGCGAGTCAATCGTGGAGCGAGGCCCGTTAAGCTTTGTGCCAGCCTGCAAATTAATGACTAACAAGGACTGAGTCGCGTACGCAGTCTAAAGTTTCACCTCTTGTTTACACCCTATTAGATTTTTGTAGGCTTTCACTTGCTCGTAATTATTTTTACCTTTGATTTCGAAACCAGAAAAAACTTGTGAAATATGAAATATGCTGAACAGCCTCGGAATATGAGCACTGTTGTAGCCAACTTTGTTTGAAGTTAATTCATACATGTTGTACGGTATGAAAACTAGAAACTTTTGATGAAGTATCTAATTATGACATAGAATTTATTTGGACAAATCAGTTTATATTATACTATGCAGTTAATAGCCATCTGTCATTATAGCTAGGTAAGTTTAGTTTTATAGAAAGTTGATACCGGGATTTACAAGAATTAGCATACCAATTTTATCGAGCACCTACAAAATGGCGAAGAAGAAAATAGACGAAACAGTTTGATGTTGTTCTGTGGTTTGTTTTATTTCTTTGCTTTGCAACTGCTCCGTAAAGTAGAGGTGAATTATTACTGCAAGAGGAAACTGCAGCGCTGTTCTGTGTGTTTAAAAATATTTATATTGACAAGAGCTCCAGGGCTTCGAACCGCGATTTAAGCAAAATTGCTGAAGCGGGTGTTTTGCAGCACTATTTCCTACTAAACATGTTACGTAGAGACCTGAACTTTGTCGATTAGCTCTGAATATTGCAAGTGCTCAGCCTGCATCAACAGGGTGGCATTAAATGTATGGTAATGACTGTTACCTTAATTAGTATAAGGCAAGTAGGAACATATTATACAGTAACGGCAAATTCTGATGCAGCGAACGTTAATCCTGCACTATTTGCATAATAATAGAACGTACCGTGTGAAAGTATAAGCCAACCCTCTTATAAAATCGTGTGATTATCGTCTACAATAATTCAATTTCAGTTACGATTACACGAGTTCCCACCGGGCAGGATTTCTCCCCTAAGTACAGGTAACAGATAGAAGGTAAGACGTTCGAGGGGACGAAATCAATGCGTCGTATTGCGTACAAAGAATAGGGAAGCATTGTGTGCGCTTACGCAAGGAGCCCACGTGCGCGCGCGCTCCCACGGGTCAAATGGGGAGGGATTTCGGGAATCAAATATAAGGGCCAAAAATCTGCTGGTTGAGTCACATTCGGATAGTAAGCGATACAGTGCACAGCTCCGGGGTGTCGCGCTACGGCGCCCCCGGTAGTACCGGACCAACTCCCAATCGAAGTTGTTACTTTGTCAATTAAAAGTTTGAAATCAGTTGTTAATACACTGTTAAATTAAGGACAATACTGTGAACAACGGGAACAGTCTTCAAAACTGAAGTCCGGACGAATTCTTCTTTCACGAACACTACAAAGTAAGTAACTTCAAGTAATTTAACTTGTAGATAATTTAGTATATAGATCGAGTTATGTTTTTTAATTGCAGATTTTTGTTGGTATTGATTTGTATATGTGTAATGTTTAGCTTTAATTAATTCCCTGTTCTACTTTTGTTACAGATATGTAGAACGTTAATCAGAGTGAACACGGAGATACGTGGAGTTTGTAAATATTTATACAAATGGTAAAACCAAATTGAAGTTTATGCTGAGGAACTTATTGAAGTCATTGACTGCCAGCAGCCAACAGCATCAAAGAATCACCCTTGTATACGGAATAAACCAAAGGAGACCACGATTTAACCAATTCAGGTGAATGCAAACAATATTTCTAGACTCCCCAAAGATAGGATAGGATACTTTAGGTATTGTTAGGGAATTAAGTAAACGTTTATGGATACATCAGTAATGTTTGTACATAAAATTAGTATAAACTAGGTATTATTCATAAAATAAGGTTAGGATAGGATTAGATAAGTACTTGCGGCAAATATTAAGAGCATAATAGTGTTCACATTTGAACCGAAAGTGCCTTAATGATCGGTGTTGTTGTCAAAACTTAGTTACGTTTCATGTTTTGTTTGCAACTGTTTCAATTGTTCACGTTTTGAGTCTGTTTTTGCTTTCGTTACATCTGTTGGATTCTAAAGTACGTTGTTGTTTTCTGTTAATTTCGGCTACAGATTAAAATTCAGCGTTCGCACTTGCAGCTGCTAGTATTTCACGAATATTTGCATTCAAATTAATGTATTCCGGAAACAATGCATCGTAGCTGCCAAATATTTATCTGATTTCATATGCCAAATTGCCAAAAAATTGAAGACCAAAGTTCTTAATTTTCTTGCGGTTTCACATTCGAAAAATAATTCTTAGATGTACCTACCACAATTGTTGTGTTCATGTTTCTTGTTTTTGTAAATATGTTGATTTTTTGTTTTAGTTAGCAACAAACCAGCTGGCCTGGAAACGTTGTTATTGTTGATTAGTATTTTTAAGTTTTTGTTTGAAAAGCGTTGAATTTTTGTTTTAAAACCGATTTCTGTTACGAATATTTTTCGAAGACTTAAAAGCAGCAAAGTTTCTTGTTAAAATATGCTCAAGTACCTGTCATGAAAATTCAGTTAAATGTGTTCGAAAAATTGTTAACGTTGATTTTTTGTTTGAATAATAAGTACCGTTGTTTGTTTTTGTTAAACAGTTGTTGATTTCAAGTTAAGTTTCATTTTGTTATAACATCATTTTCCGTATGCGTCCGTCTTGCAGCTTCAGTGATGTCTAAATAATCGAAGTTCACACTCCAAAGAAAGGAGAGCTTAAAATGTTAAAGTTTAAAATATATTTTATTACATTTTGAATCTACATCTAAAATGTAGCTATATTTAGCGAAAGTGAATTTGGGTGAACGCTTTAAATAGGGAACACGGTGACACTTGAATGACATCACTATTATCATCACAATTACTGTTACCATTGCACTTATGAACCATAACATCGTTCATTTGACTGTCGATGACTGACGATAAAGTTTTGTTTTATCACATACACTTCTACAAAGTGGAACTAAGTCCCATACCTGACTGAATAGAAATAACATCTGACAGAGTTATTTTAGTACTTGGCGTACATCATATTTTCATTTACGCTAAACTGTTACAATTTAGTTGATCATCTTTGTGGTGAAATAAAGTGTGAGACAACTACAGATAGATTTACTGCAAGACGGATTTACTGTGTAAAGATAATAATATCATCAATATTTCGGAACATTTGAACATTGTATCAATGCCCAATAACAATAAAACAATTTTGTTCATTAATTTCAGATTTGTTAAGTTTTTGTTGTTACGTTGTTTCGTAAATTCAAGTTGCTATTGATTTGTCTGTTAAATTGAAGTTAATGTTTTTGTTTTGTTTTTAACTTTCTTACCATGTCCATCTAGCAAAATAAGGAGGGTTTTGAGAATTCAATTGACTTGGATGTGACGGTAACTTACTTTGCTTAGAATTGCTACTGTGACTTGATTTTTTTTTAAACTTTGCCCCACCACATTGGGATTTTGTCCTGTGTCGTGGGTGCGTTTACAAACATACAAGTTCACATACACATGACACCCAGACCCGGAACAACAATTTGTGGATCACACAAAGAATTGTTCCGTACTGGAATCGTGATTGTTTTCGGGGTTCGGATCGCATTCCTGTCGTTTGGTTTTTCGAAACTTATCCGGTTCACAAAACCCATTATGAACTAAAGTACTAGGTCTCATAATACTTTTGACTTCCATTGAAAGTAACCATATGCAGGTTGACTTTATTTCAGTGTAATAATTTTTATTTTCATCTTTAATTGTCGTTATCCGCCTCAATCATTATCTTAGTTTTTTCATTTTCTTGTACTATTTTGTTAATGCTAACCTTGTTGAATTGACTGTTACTTTCAAGTTAAGTTTTTGTTTTGTTATTACCATCAACTGTTTTTTGTTAATCTTCTGCTAACCGTTAAAAATTGAAATCGTAACAATTGGAACTTTATCAGAATTCTTGTTAATGTTGATTTCAATCCAAAATATTAATCTACGAATTTCACAAATATTTTGTTGTAAAAATCTAGTATTACTTCAGTACTTACCACACTAATCAGTTGAAAGGATATCTTTTGATATTTTCCATTGAAAGATTTGTGAATGTTTGATTTCTCTGTTCTCAATTCCTGTTAACGATGAAGTCTGAAACCTCAGTAATTCTATTAAGGAATTTCTTGTTGAGTTTTTGTTTAATTGTTACGTTGGTGTAATTGTTGATTTCGCTGTTAATTTCAAGTTCAGTTTTTGTTTTGTTTTTAATTTCTTTTTGACTGAATTCGTTGATTGTTATATCTTCTGACTATTAATTTTGTCGACACATCTTATTTCATTTCAATTTTTTTTCTGTCGTTTTCCAGTTTCTTTTCTATTTCTTTGGCAAGGTGCTCTTTTTAAGTAACGTAACGTCGTATCTCCCTAATACTTAATTTGTTGTTCATTAAGTTTGTCTTGTTTAGAAACAATCACATCGTGCCTTATCACCGTAATGTGCCTAATATTGTTTCTTGTTGTGTTGCCTTCTTATAGGGTTCTGACCAATGTAGTTGGAATCCTATATGGACGCATAGTTTTGTTATCACAGTGACGTACAATATTGCTGGAATTTCAATATTAATACGACTCTGTTGAATATTTCAGCCTAGTGACTGTTTTGTCCCTTTAATATCGTTTTGTTACGGCCTATTTCATTACAACCATACTCAATGTTGTTAATTTCGGTATTTCGATACACGCAACGCTGAAAATAAATTGCATTGTTAAGCTCATAATTAAATTACACCCCATCAACCAATAGTTTCCAAAGTGACTGAGTACAAAACATAAACGGGGATAAAATCGTCATTATGCACTTATTGTTTTTACCATTTGGTATAATTTTGTTGAACGATTAAATATTGTTAATGTTACATAGTTTTAAGCGTTGAATTGTTGTTAAGTTTTGATTGTGATATTATTGTTAAATTTTGATCATGGCTGTGTTTGTTAATTTTATGTTAAGTTTTCGTTGAAACCATTTTTGTTCATTGTTCTTTGCCGACATTAAGGCCACCGAGTAACACCAAAGTAATTGTAGTTTAACTTTGTAGTGTATGTTCGTATTTAAGATTAATATTAGTAACTACTGTATTGTTTGGAAGTAACTACTGTAACCAAAGCTTTGTATAAAATTAACAAATAGGTAAGTTAGGGTTATTTATTAGAGATGTGTGACAGTTCGTGTGTTTGTGTGAAATAAATGTATTAAAACAGCTAAAACTTTGTTTTACTTATGTTTATTGTTTTTTTTTTGTGAATTAATAATTTTAGAATGGTAAAGGAAGCCATTGGAACAGAGCCAAGTGTTTTGCTGAATAGGACAAAATCTAGTTTGGGATATGTGCAACGCGAATGTGGTCACAAAACAATGTTACCATACGATTTAGATAGCAGATACACGAATGCAGCGTAATGAAGATAGTTTGCTGTAGGAGAAACAAGAAGTTTGTTTGATGCAATCTCGCAGCTTAGCTTCTTCTTAATTGTTTCATTTCCGAAGCTAGTTTTTAGTATATAATTTTATCTCACAAACAAGTTTAGGAGAACCAATCGGTTGAATCAGTCTGAGGACATCGTCTCGTTGCCTGAAACAAAAAACATAATTATCAGAAAATATCTATTGATACCATATTCTGAGTTTAGATGTCAGAATAAACATTTAAGTGCTACTCACAAGACAACAATTACAATTTGATACAGTTTTCTGTCCTGTATTAAATCAACCCGTATATTAATTTAACTTTCTGCAGTCAAAGGAATTCTTATAATAAGTTAACTAAAAAACTAAAATCTTAAGTTAACTAAATCGCGGGTTACTCGCGTGAATATACTGAGAGGCGCGGTCGCTGCGATGTCGCGCAGCTTGCCGCGCACGCTGCTCATGAGGAAGAACCCTTCTGTGGTTCGAAACTAGTAGAGCTTTTCTCAGTATGAGGAACCCGCGATTTTTAGTTAATTTAGTATGTCTCGCGATATAATTAAATTATCTTAATGTTAAGTCATCATTTCAGTAAAATAAAGATAAAAGGATTCATTTGTAGGAATTGTAGGTAATGGGAATTAAATTATCTATCATAGATTTATCGATCTTGAAACCAACATAATGATAAAACCTCACATTCTCTCGCAAAACTAGTAACCAATAAAAGAACATAAAGAACTTCCTTTTCCTACTTGTTATTGGAGTTTTTCTTCCAATAGTTCGTCTTTGCAGTAAATGCAGGAAACGCGGATTCCCGACTATGTCTTCCAAGTATGTCTAATCTATTTTTAAGGTCATTTGCCTTATTATTATGGTCGGAAAATTACTAAGCGACATGGTTCTTATATACCTTTCTCCTACCATAACATTTTACGGTGTTCAACCATGATTATTTCCTTAAATGTCACTGTGTGAAAACGTTAGAGATTTTACTTTTATACACGATAGGACAGTGAGTAAGATTTATATGTCTTACTTATGCTGGTTTATGCTTCACACAATATCATAAATTATATCATTATTCAGGCTATAGACGTATCCTAATGATAAACCACCCTTATAAAGTGACAACTATTTTAAAATTTCGTAATAATATGTGTTTATAATTTCAAACTAAATATTTATATTCTTACAAAACCAATATTTACCTAAATAATATTTACTTGTGAGAAAGTTGCCATCGCAGGTACCTACTAACATTTGTTTGGAGAATTTACGTTCCAAATCAGATACTTGGACTTATACAATAATTCCATTCATGCTCACATGCACGTTTCATATTTCTAACTTCAGCAGAACAAGTTATATTTGAACGCGATAGTTTAATCTCGTCCTGCTCCGATTTTTCACACCTCGCACTTTGCTACGATATTTTACGTTTCGCTTATCGATATTTTTAGAGCAACTACAACTATCTAGAAATATTTCACCCTGTATTTTTACTGCACCGTTGCAATATTTTATGAAACATTATTAGTTATAACATATTTAACCTACTTAGTCCGTACCGAGCAAACGTCTCATTCACGAAGAAACGTTCATGTTCACAAAGTATCGGAATGAGTCAACTTAGAGGTACAAGTATTTCAACAACAAGAAACTTTAAATAAGTTTGCTGGAAGTCAAGGAAACATAGATAAAACTCTTTACGTACTTATTTTGTTCTCACTTGCGTAACTTTATTGTGCAAACGTTTGAAATGGAAAATTCACAAATTCGTGTTTGATAAAACGAAGTAGTGAATTTGGTAATATCGTTTTATAAGTGTTGTGATTTGGTTTTGTATTCTAGTTCCCAACTGTTAAAATGACTTCATCCCGTCATAGTGGTCATAAAAGTGTATCTTCGATAAGAGTTTCTTGGATGGAGTTTTACATCAGACGTAGTGACATAGTGTGAAGGATAAAATATAAAAGGTATTCGCTTTAGCAAACAGTGACTTGCCTTCGATCCAGATATCTGCGCGAGAAGCTGAAAATATAACGGGACTACAAGCGACAGAAATTCCGTCGTCCAACGTTGAAAATAATTTTGTATTTGTGGATAGGGGCCGGATGCGATGGAGTCATTCAGGTGAAAAATTAATGATGTTTTAGCTTACGTTCCAGGTACTCCTGCTGGGAGGTCTTGTGTCAACGAAATAGGTTGTTAAAGCATTTAGTTGCTGCGGATCATCGTTGGCCAGAGCTCCTCTGATGCCGGTCACCATGTGCTTGCATTCCTCACTTCTCTTCAACTGCTTATCAGTCCTCTCTTGTGTCGACATCAATCTTCTTTGATCCAACTGGACATGCCTTACTTTTTTTCGCACCAAATTTACGTAATAATCAATTTGTCGTTGGAAATGATCCACAGACCAGTAAAATTTTAAGTCAGCAAGAACCATTAGCACAAACCCTATGTAAAGGCACACCAGTGTGATCGCAAAGTAGTACAAATTTGGATCAGCAGATGAAAAGAATGGGCAATCATCTTGTAAAGTGAGACAGCTCCAAAAGTATGATGTTTCATGAATAGGAGCATCTGGTATAAGACTCATGCTGACATTAAATTTGGTTCACATGAATTTTATTATTTGTGGATTTGGTCTAACATGCTTTGCCTGACATCACTAAAATACTGTCAAAATGTGATCTGTCATGTTGCGTGCTAGAATCCATAGCATAGAAACAAATATGTTTGTACCTACTTGATATATAAAGAGTCCGTAGTGAATTATGCAAGTAGTTGATAACCATTGACCAATAATCATCCAATAATAATAGCACTGAATAGCACTAGCTAGACTAATAGGATATAATCACACAGTTACAGTTACGTACTCAGAATGGAAAATTCTGTGTACCTACCTGTGCGTACCTTTGGTGAGAATAATTACTTGTAACAACAATATCTGCTTTTAACATCAAGTGCTTCACTGCATGCCGTGATAAAGATATTGGATATTTAGTTATACACAACTTCTGCTATATATTACATACTCCTAAATCTTATGATATCTTGCGAAAATAACGTAACGTATAACCTAAGAAAGAAACAATATTTATAAGTTAGAATTTCAATCCTTTTCACGTCTAAGTGTTTTCTAAAGAAAGAATACGATACCGCAATCATCCGAGCACGACGAAGTGGCATCGCTCACACTGACAATAGCGAATAAAAGTGCACAATGCTGCTAGAACGCTTCACTTGAGGCAATATCGAATTCCCGTGGACGTTCGCCGAGACACCACCCGTCTCCTGAACCAACAAAACACCGCCATGACAACCAGTCTGCCGGCCAATACCTCAAATATTCAGCAGCTTTTGAACAAAGTAACTTGAGAACTTAAGGAATATTGGATACTTTCATAACATTCTACCCAGCTATCTTTCCATCTACGAAGAATTACTAAAGAAGATATAAAGAACTATGAAATGACAAACCTCAGTCTAACTATATTTTAAAATATTGGAACGTATAAAGAAGTATCTGGTAAAGTTTCGCTCAAAACTTTAGTATTCGCAAAGTCGCCTATATTCGATATTTTCAATACAAGCTCTTTTTGAATGCCATTTGTACAACTTTTGCTGATATTTCATAGCCAAAGTTTTGTGAGCAAAAGATTAGATTCTGAGCCAACATCAATGTGATTTATTATATTTTACACAATTCGTTTTAAAACTTTGTTATTTTTATTTCTTGGCTTCGATACAAAAATAGGAATGCATAGTATTATTTAGTTAGGAACTTCAATTGTAATTTTTATTTTTTGTTTATAATAAAAATTAACACCAGGAATATAATAAAGGTGAATGAGTGCATTTTGGTAAATAAAACAACATACAAATTACTTTTGTTGTGAATATTTTTGTCAATTTATTTAAGTCCAACCATTTTTTCTGAAACCTCCCAGAGTTTGCGTGCTATATCTCGATCTTCGGCAAGTCTTGTCACATTTGCTTCGTGACAGTCAGCGAAATACTTGCCGCTAACGCTTTCCACTTCAGGGGAAACAGCAAGGTAAATCGAAGTCTGAGCACCTTCCCACTGTGTTTTAAAGAACTTACTAATATAGGGCATCAGTGCTCTGGTCCAGCCCGATTTTATTTTCAACAAAATGTCTGTCGATACAACTCCTGGGTGTAAACTATTCGCAGTGACTCCCGTTCCTTTCAATCTTTCTGCTAATTCTACAGTCATTAAAATATTATATATTTTTGTATTAGCGTACACTTTGCTATAACTAAAGGTTTCACTAGTTTCCTTTTCTGCATTAAGATTATCTAAATCAACTGTTCCACGGCGATGAGCCATCGAAGATACGTTTATGATTCGGCTAGGTGCCGATGTTTTCAGTAGCGGGAGCAGCAGGCAGGTCAAGAGAAATGGTCCGAAATGATTAGTTTGTGCGGCAAGTAGTAGTCCATCCTTTGTTTTCTCGTTTGGCATGTCATAAACACCGGCGTTATTGACAAGTATATCGAGGCGTTTCTCGGTCTTGATTATACCAGCTGCAAACGCTCTTACAGAAGCCAGGGAAGAAAGATCAAGATGTTGGTAGTGGACGTCTGAGTTGCCGGTGGCTGCGATGATCTCGTCCCGCGCTGCTGTGCCCAACGTCTCGCTCCTGCATGCCAGAATAACACGAGCACCTCTTTCAGCAAAGTTTTTCGCCGTCTCGAATCCGATACCTTTATTTCCACCCGTAACTATTGCCACTTTGCCCACTAAATGTCTACTGGTCCTACATATTCCTGTTGTAAGTTTGCAATACACTTTAATAAGTAAAATCAATACAATATTTACTAAAACAAGTGACTGAAACATTATGTTGAAGCAAGAACATTTACTCTACTGAAACGATAGTCATGTATTTTTTATTGATAAGATAACGCTTCAATTATGATTCTAGACAGCATGCTGTCGTTAAATTTATATTAGTACCTATATACTTAAATAATGTTCAAGCCCAAGATAAAATGTTAGTAGGTACGTAGGTAGGTACTAAGACAGGTGTCAGGCCTATCTATAAATAAGTATTTTAAAACTGATGAAATACATTGATGCATTTTTTATATAATTGCGTAATGCCTTGTAGACAAGGCAGGCATGACATCTTGGTTCATACTCCATCCTGATTTGTGCTTTCGTACATTTAGTTCACAAGAAAATTTGACTCATTCGTCAACTCGTCAACGAAATCCACCTATTCTCTCTTTTTAAGCACCTCTTACTAAGTAATGAAGTCTTAATACCTAATGTTACATTTTAAATACTAAAAAAAACATATATACGGTCGAATTGAGAACCTCCTCCTTTTTTTTAAGTCGGGTAAAAATGAAAATTGGTTACTTATACATTTTTAATAACACAAGAAATATTTTCTATTTCTCATTATCCCTCGCATTATGTAGGGTACGGGTAACGTTTAAAAATAAAAGAGTACCTGTATTACATTTTATGAAAAATTTTGTTGCCAACTGAACAAACGTAGTAGTTTTATCTGTTTCAGCGAGTTGACGATATCATAAATAGGTAAAATAGAAAGGTGCCGACTCGCTGGCATGCGTGAGCATCTTACTCGCGAATTGACGAATCAGTCGAAAATTCATAAATAAAATCCTTATTTATTTATCTATTTATGCACAACACAGAGACAATAATGTATACAATAATAAATATCAGGATGAACCCTAAATTAATGACGATCAATTTTATAAACATTTTATCAACACATCTGTCTGTCTACGCCACATTGCCTAATTTATTTATGGATCACAGAATAAGATACCTATAAAATCATTCATAACAAGCAAATAACATTAATAAAAAACATCCCGATCGGAATCTAAAGCTAATTTGTACATTCCTACTAATTGGCGCCTACAACAATATGTTGTAAAATTACCGTTAAACATATTGCTATTAATTTATAATCAGGCGCCAAAAAATAATACTAGCGCCATTATTCAACAAAGTAACAAAACAAAATAATAGTTTCTAGAAATTTATTCTTTAAAAATACGGTTTCATTTTGTATGCACCTGATAGTAAATAGGTTAATAAGCCCCTGTTTGAATGTGCGCCTACCTATTGCAGCAAAATTACTTCCGCCACTAAGCAGCGTTGCTGTATTCCGCGTGAAAGGGTAGGGTGCCAGAGTGACATTTAGTGTTATACTAACTTAGTACTACTAAGGAGGGTTAAAAGCTACTACATCTATAATAGTGAAATATATTTTTCGTCGCCATATATGGTGACGACGCACAATTTATGTCTACAGAGACGTTGATATTGACTGCCGCGTTGGCCGAGTGGTCGCAATTGCGACTGCCGGGTAAGGAGTCTCGGGTTCGATTGCCCGGTCGGGCAAAGTATTACTGGGTTTTTAAAAAAATCTCTATAGTAGCACGGAGTCTGGAACTGTGCCCGGTATATGGCAATAGGCTCACCCCCTATTACTTGGGACTCATAACATAAATAGTGGAAAGTGGGTGTTACATTGTACAGTGGTGGATACCACTGTACAGTGGTGGATACCTTCGAGGATAAAAGGCGTGATGTTATGTTATGTTATGTTATGTTTGATATTGCCAGACATGTCGACCAATGTCTGGCAACGTCGCGCTACTTCAGCCGACGCTCCTGGCGATACGTGTCGCAGGACATTTGTCCCCTAGTGTATCGTTGACTTTATTATGAGGGCAGAAAGTAACAAGAAAATTCAACTAGACATATTTTGTAAATTTTGCTCAATAAATCATACCACTGTACGTTTTATGTGCCTAAGTGGTCGTTAAACACTACAGATTGGTTTCATAACGTGCATCTATTACAAAGTGCATTGTAATATTACTTCCAAACTGACAGTAATTGCCGCGAAGGAATTACGAGCTCTAAAGTTCAACAATAAGACTTTAACAGGCCCGTAAAATAAGGCACCCTCGGTGAAGTATATACCGGCCGCTTGGCACGATTTTGTTTGATGGCTAATTAGGTAAGTACGTCTTAATTAATTTATTACAAGATTTTACACTTCACCAAGCGATTTATCAGTGTTCAACGAAGTTTTATGATGCTACGGGGTAACTTCCCTGAATAAGGAGCCAGGATTAGCACAGCCTCAAAGAATCTTAATTGAGTTAGAAGTAATGTATCTAATTACCTCAATTTAATCGGTTTCATGAATTTGTTCATACTTATGTCTAATTAAATTAGTACCTACTTAGTTTGTCTACAATTTTATCGTTTGCACGTGTTTTCTTATCGTTCCGTTGATAGTAGGAACAGATTTTAATGCTGACATTGTAATACCACAATTGATGTGTGGATATGAAGTACCTATACTGAATAATCATCGTGACAACAAAATACCCAAGTGATTGCTAGGTCACATATTTAAAATTTACATCAGACCAACAGGGACGAGCGACTTTTCTCGACGTTTCAATAGTCACCCTTTTTCTTCAGAAATTCCCCAATAGGGTGATTTTATTATGGGTAATAGGCAATTAATGTGTTCAGTAAGTAAGTTTGAAAAATATAACATTATTCTAAACGAACAGGTGACTATAGTGTGAGTAATAAACTAAGGCTCGGTCACAAGGCGTGTCTCGATACCTCAGCGCTCGGCACACAGGAAACCTTGGTAATGAGGTCGTTTGATGTGATTTGACGCGACAAATTGCTCAGCAATTGCAGGAGAAACACCTTCGACACTTTGCTTTAATGACATATTTCTCATTATAATTCTTGATAGTGTCTTATCTTGGAGGCAAGTGTATTAGAACTTAATTTAGTAGTGTATATTAAGTTATTATGGTATCTTATTTATTTATGATATAACAATAGTACTACCAAGGATGGAATTCTTTGCCATAGTCTGTGTTTCCTGAAGGGTATAACCGTAAAACGTAAACGTAACTTATGCATTAAGTTGCTATTATATTTCTAGGGATATAGGGAATTGGAGAATATTTATCTTTCCTTAATAAGTTTATTTGTATAGGGATAGAGAGTAACGATTACGTCTAGATACTTGCCTTAGGTACTTAGCGAAGCAGTTTGCTGGTAATTAATTACCAAAAATAAAGTCAATAAAACATTTGGAAAATATAATTGGGTACTTGCCAATTAGTCAAATTCAATACTTTTTTCGAACTGTCAAAAACGACAATTTTCTATGAATTTTGTATGAGATTGTTTATTGTGACTTCACGTTTTTTTAGCGTCAAACAGCATACCTACTTATTTCTTAAAAAAATGCTGGAAAAAACTAAAATTAAGTTGGTTATAAAAGCAATTAATGAAAGTGTGATTATTTTTTAATATTTTATTGTATTGAGAAGTCGAAATAATTTATATTTGACTTAGGAAAGTACCCAATTATTATAGGTAATTAAGTGTACGTACGTACCATGAATATTCGTGTAATTTTCATAATGCACACCAGTAACTTTTCAATTGGAATGTTTAGTCATGCGAGAAATATTCGCATATATGTGTGTGTAATGTGTACTTATATACGTATTTAGCTTCGCTCTAATAAACAAAAATGCCTGTGATTATTATGGAGCTCTATTCTATCCAAATGATTTTTTTTATATTAGGTATACGTATAAATGTACCTCTAAATGAAATGGCAAAATTATTGTCCTACCAAGATATCTTTCAGAGAACAATTAGTGTTTGTCATAAAATTCATATTTCAATGAAAAGAAAATAGGCGTTGGCGGTGGAAATATTAGACATTTCAATCTGTATCCTACCCACAACAAGGCCTATTTCAAAGTTAAATTTCAGCGAACATATCCAGTGTCAGATTAGCGGCGACAAGCATTTTGTCTAATGGAACGGATCCCAATTATGTTTAGTAATCCAAGTTGTCTATTATGATGTTGCAAAGACGACAACTAAACTGTTTCTGGTCTTGTACGGCCCTTTGTAATTTCATGGAAAGTCCTTCATAAAGGATTTTGAAGAACATAAAATGATTTGAACATACAATAATTAAGTTTTATTTTGTTTTGGCGAAAATCATGTGATCTATCGAGCGCTGGGCTCAAATGTGGAAGGACAGAAAGGAAGAAGGCTTAGTATGGGATAAGCTGGTAAACGAGCAGACTGATCACCTGATGGTAAGCAATCGGCGTCGCCCATGGACACACGGAACACCATATGTGTAACAAGTGCGTTACCGACCTTTTAATGATTAGGAATTTGAGGATTGTTGGGGATTTAGAGATTGGGGAGGGTGGAAGGTAATTGGGCCTCCGGTAACCTCACTCACCCAATGAAATACAACACAAGCGTTGTTTCACCTCGGTTTTCTGTGAGGCCGTGGTATCATTCCGGTCGTGACCCAGTGCCGAAGGCTCTCCCACACTTAAAACCAAGAAGAGATGGATGGATGTTGGGAGAAGTAATTTTAAAGAGGAAGAAGTAAATAATATCTAAGATGACGTTACATTACAGTTATAAAGGGAGAGCGGAAGAAGACATCTTTTGTAACTAAGGATAGACAGGAAGGAAAGGAAGATTGTTTTTAAAATAACAACGTTTATGAGTTACTTACATAACTGGTTAAAGATAGAAAAATATGCGGATAAAAAGGAGTATTTTTTAGCCTTATAATAATATAAATGTCATTAGTTTCCCTTGTCATTATAATGATATTTTATTAGGTTAAAAATACTATTAAACCTGTTTTCCTTTATTAAAATGGTCAAGGAAAATGTTTAAACAGAAAATATATACCAAATTACTTGTTCCATTTGTGAAGATATTTTCTGTTGTCATGTAATTGCCAATGCTTATCAGATAGAAATTAAATATTTGTAGATAAACTAGCAACAGGGAACAGTATTTACCACCAAAATTATTATTTTGATTTTGTTTCTATATCTATGCTATTATGATGATATTGGTAATTACGAGAAAAACAGAATATTAATTAGCAATTAGTATCAATAATAGTCAACACACACACAATGAACTTTTGAAAATCGACCAGTGATACCTTTATGATAGGGTAGTTTTCTAAATTTTATTTTAATGTCCGTCTGGTACATTAATTTAAAACTTTAGACACGTATTTTTTCTTTTCTCACGAAATTAAATAATTTCGACGGTATATTAATTTAAATTATTGTGTGACGTCACAGCGTGCCACATTTTGTTACACTTAATTCGAGAAAATAAAAAAATACTTGTCTAATATTTTTTCATTATCTAACTGACGGACTTATTACATTTTTAATTTTGATACCCTGGAAACTACCAAATTGCTCGAATCTGGATTTCAGTACCTATGTTCGTAGATTTCTTAGTCACAAACAAAACCAACAAGGCAGTAATTCGGTTATATACATTTATAACATAAGGAAAAGAACATAAACCACGTATGTCCCAGAAGCTTCTTTAACAGCAATAAAACATTAATTGCCTACTCGTAAACAATTTTCTTTGAGACATAATGTCCTTCGTATAAAAGACATTACTGAACATATTATGATTGCAATAAAGCAACAAATTGGGTTTTGCTACTACGTTTCCATGATTAATATAAAATCATATTAGGTACGATAGCTATTTTAGGAATATATTTTATTGTTGCTTTTGTTGTAGAGGTATATTGTGAGATCTGGAATTTTCTCTTAAGTTGTTAAGGTTTTATTCTTTAGTCTTCTTCAGGATTTTTCTTCATTTTCGAAGTAGGTATCTACTAGGTTACTTAAATACTTAGTAACACATTTTTTGTTTCTATGTGAAGTTTCTACAGTGGAAATTACGCTATCTACTGTTCGGTATGTCTTGATACGGATTGTTACTTAGGTTGAAAAATTAATAAAACATGACTCAGGACAAATGTACCGACTTCCTTGTCTGCCATTTTTTGCCTACTTAATACGTGAGTCGTAGATATTTTCTTGCTACAGTTTATTATAGTCGTGTAAATGAATTTGTGTTTTTATATATCCAAGGTGATATCGGTTTAACGAATAGCTCTTAACTCAATGACATAGTTATATAACATAGTCGGCGGGCCGCGACGACGCACCGGCGCGTACGCACGTTTGGCAACTAGTGTAGTTAGGAATACGGCCATGAGCGGACTGTGGCTAGTTAAGACGTCTAAAAATGTAGTCATATACATATACACGACAATTCTTTATCGCTGATAAACGCGTTGATACAGTCCGTGCGTCTGATGATTGAGGTTACTTCACATGACCCTCTTCAGTGATTACTTACTTATCGTCACGATTTATTTCGCCGAGCGATTCCAAACATAAAGTATATCAATAAATTTAATCATTAAAAATGATTTTGTGGTCTATATTCGGCATCATAATATTGTTAGTACTAATAGTGAAGGTGTACCAGAAACTGACAGTTGGAATATGTCGGACCAGTGCTCATATGGTCGGAAAAGTGGTGATAGTGACTGGTGGAAACAGTGGACTCGGCTTGGAGACAGCCAAGGATCTGGCGAGTCGTGGTGCTAGGGTGATTTTGGCTTGTAGGAGCGTTCGACGAGCGGCAGCCGCGAAGGAAGAAATAATAAACGCGAGTGGCAACACTGATGTCCACTTCCGACAACTAGATTTAGCTTCACTTCGATCGGTCAAGGACTTCTGCGATCACATTTATAAAACAGAGAAGCGTGTCGATGTCCTCATCAACAATGCTGGTGCGGGCGGGCTCGGTAACGGTAAAACAGCTGATGGACTTCACGTTGGAATGCAAGTTAATTACTTCGCACCATTTCTTTTGACTTGTCTGCTTGTGCCTTTGATGAAGTCTTCTGCACCGAGCCGAATTATAAATGTGTCATCCATGATACATAAATATGGAGAGTTAGACTTTGACAATTTGAATATGGAGAAGTACTGGAGTGACTATCTGGTGTATGCGAACAGTAAACTTTTCCTGAATTTGATGACATTAGAATTAAGTTCAAGACTGAAAGGTACGGGTGTTACAGTAAACGCTCTGCATCCAGGAGTGGCTGCAACAAATATATTCAGGAACATTCCTAGCAATATCATTAGAAATATTGTAGAAAAATGTATAGGATTTATGTTCCAAAGTCCTTGGGAGGCAGCACAAACCACTATATACCTCTCAGTATCTCCTGAAGTAGAAGGTGTGAGTGGTAAATACTTTAGTGATTGCCAAGAGAAGTTACCTTCGAAGTGTTCCCAAGATGCCGAGTTAGCTAAGAGACTGTGGATAGAATCGGAGAAATTAGTGAAATATACTTTATCGGACAATTAGTACTTAATAGGTAGAGGTACATTTTTGTATAGCATAGGTAAATTATTATGTATTTAAAATATTTTATCTTCTTACATAAAGCTTTTATACAAATTATGTTTTATTTTTAACCTCTTACATAATCTATTTGGAGACTCAGTTTGCTGTGACACACAATTTTAATTGCCTAGTTGAGTTAACGTAAGACATTACTACAGAGATATAAGATGCTTGTCTCGTTTCTCGTTCATACTATTTGAATAGTTCTACTGAGTGTCCTAGTATTCCAAATGGAAAGCGTGTGACCGTTTTAAGGAAATTATTGTAGGATGTGTGGCCAAACATTAATTGCTTTACTACAATTACGTTACATGTATTGCATTGAATAAGTAATAAACATGAACAACATTGTATTATTTTGTTTGTGTATAAAGAAAAATAAAATCCTATATCGAACAGGAACTTGTGCGAGACGATAGTTTATACAACCTCGAACATATCCAAGAGTAATAAATATTGAGACAACTATTTCAAAAGCAAATACATTTTCTTTTAAAATTGCTATTAAATACATATATATTTATGCCCACGACCTACTATTCTGTTTCGCACTAAAGCATTGCATATGGTGAACTGCTTCTTTTTTATAGGATAAGCCGGTAAACGAGCAGACAGATCACCTGATGGTAAACAATCGGCGTTGTCCATGGACGGACACCAGCACCTCCCCCCCTCCTTGTAACACCAGAGGAGTTATAAAATGCGTTACCGGTTGTTTGGGGATTAGGAATTTGAGGATTTTTTTTGCAAGCGTTGTTTCACTTCGGTTTCCTGTGAGGCCGTGGTATCACTTCGGTCGTGCCGGCCCACGCTCTGCTATGCGCAAGCGTGAATGCAGAGCAAGGTGTCTCGGGTCCCATTCTAGGGTCTGACAAAGTATTGTCGGGTTATATTCAGCGTGAATAGATTAACTCCCTATACATGGTACTTATGATATTATTGGTAAAAACTGTTTGAGATTGAATTTCTGTAATAGGTGAGATCCTTCAGAGATCAAAATGGGTCACGGCATACACCTTATCTATATTTTGCACATAAATAACTTAGCTTCTGTAAAGTAGGTACATGTAGAATTATTCTGAAAATAGATCAAACACCATTTTTCTGTCGTGGAAATAAAGGCAAGCGGCACTTGTGGTAATTAGATGTCTAGACAACAACCGGCGCCTTATGTCATGAGAATTTATGTAGGTAAGTATTATGTAGTAGTTGCATGTACTTCTATTCTTAGGAACTATAGTTCTTAGGAATTTGCACAGGTTAAATATTGCTGATTTGTGTATTGCGATCGAGAAAAGTGACCGATAAATTCACCCTTATTACATTCGTAACTAAATTAGGAAAAGTGGTTGTTGTTATGAATAATTATGCACCTCTGTGATATTGATCGTCGCAAGTTTTCTTCTGAGATAACGATTTTTCAATGGGCTATCATCTCTTGGGCCCAAAACTCATACAGTTAGCCTAGTATTTATAATAATAAAAACCTTATCCTTACGCTTAACAATAATTGAATTTGTGTACCACCAAGTTAAGCTATTTGTAATTAACTTATCACTTCACCTACTTAATTACTTTATTTATCGTAATAATGTGATATCGAAAGTATTATCGATGTATCTTATAGAATTAACATGTGCACCTGCCTTTACGTGTACCTATTTGCTTATCTAGTACCTAAACATAATAATTTCAGTTTACGCTTCCAGCATTAAATAAAAAAACGCATTGAATAAAAAAATGTATCTTTGTAACGCATGTATGCACGCATGGGTCAAAAATAAATTATACATTCGTTGCTTCGTCCTTCGAGATTAGGTAATAATTTGTAGTAACGCATATCGTGTCGCCTTTCATCCACTAAGTTAAAAGCAAAAAAAAAAAAATGTTGAGGGTACTCGCAACACTACTAGGAACATTGGTTGACCGGCTACTCATTCGCGTTTCAGTGCGTCGCCGATCACCACGTAATATTAACTTTTATAGTAAAATACCGTTCTTATAACGATGCCGAAACGAGTTTACAGTGAAGAAGATGAGGACAGTGATTATTGCAGGAAAAACTAAGGAAGAATAAGTTCTGATGTGTGTAGTAGTGGCAGTTCACCGGTGATTATTTCGCCGCCGCCACCAAGTATACCGAATGGTTAGTTAATTAATATTTATTCTATCTTGAAGTGAATCACGGGCGTGCCGTTTAATAATAATTGTGTGCACTACTAAGGGAGTGCTCCGTTATATAAAAAATATTGTGTATAGTTGCAAGGACTATTACCGTATTTTAAGAAACGTGCACCTACCTACCATCATTAACATTTTATTTTGTATTGTGATTGTGTACATCTTATAGGGGATGTTACCTACACAATATTTTATACAGTTTACAAAATTAGTGATGTGTACATTCGAAAGGAATGTTTCCTTCACTTTTTCTTTTGTCCATCGAATATCTAATTCTGATATTAATTTTACTCAATGTATATACAAGTACATAGTTTACCCTATTTACCTACACAAAATTAGGTTTAAAATGTCGCAATGTGGACACTTAAATGGCCTGTTTAATAACACGAGCGTCTGGATTTCCAGGTAAAAACGATTCACAAGTAGACATTGAACTACCAATTAATGACGAACCTCAACCAGTGCCATCTACATCATATCAATCGGCGATTCAACCAACTGAAATCGCTATGATATTAGAACCGACCGAAGAACTCGAACGTCCGGAATTAGACGAGGAAATAATGTGTCTTCTCGGACAAACACCATCCAAAGAAAAAAAGTTAGGTTCTGATATTCAAAAAGATCTAGCCTTAAGACTAGAACATATTACTACAATGGGACTGAAAAAGGAGTCCAGAAAGGAAATAATCGAAAATAACCTTATACCCTCAAATTGTACAAAAATCAATGCTCCAAAATTAAATCCTGAGATAAAGGCTGCTCTTTCTGAGATATTAATTAAAAAGGACAATGCATTAGAGGCGAAACAAGTACAGATTGCTGCGACAATATCCTGTTTAGGCAACGCCTTAACCAAGATATTTTTGTCGGATTTTAAAGATCAAGCTGTGATTAAGTCATTGATTGAAGCTAGTCGGTTATTGTGCGATACACAACACAGAGAATCTATGACTAGGCGTAGTTTTATTTGTTCTTCAATAAAAAAGGATTTTAAGGAACAGCTGTACAATACAGAGGTAGATAGTTTTCTGTTTGGAGAGAAATTAGCCGACACGCTCAAAGCAGCAAAAGCTATTTCAAAATCAGGAGCGGAAATCAAGGTCACTATGAAGAAAACTGTTGTGCCACAAAAAGCAAGCCAGGTTCCTGCTCAAATTTTAAACCAGAAGCCTCCACTCCCGCCAACCCGGCGGACGGGAGTAGCGAGGAGGGCAGAGCCGGCAGCGGCGCCAGCGCCGCGCTCGCGCCAGCAGCAGCCACTGCGACACTCTACGCGCTCACAGCGGCACCATGCACTGCGCCACTAAATACGGTACGTACAGCAGGTCGACTATCCTTGTTCTACAATAATTGGAAAAAATTGACAAACGATCCGGTAATTTTATCGTGGATAAAAGGTTATAAAATACCTTTTTCTACTCCGGCTGTACAATTCAAAGAACCTGTTTTACCTTCAATTGCTCCATCAGAATCTTCACAATACAGAACAGCCATATCTGATTTAATTAAATCGGGAGCTATATCACCCTGCCAACCAGCTGAGAGGCAATTCCTTTCTAGCTACTTTCTCATCAAGAAACCTAGCGGAAAAAACAGATTTATACTAAATTTAAAATCTTTAAATAAACACATTGTTACCGAACACTTCAAAATTGAAGATTTAAGAACCACAATAAAATTAATCTCAAAAAACTGTTTTATGGCCACCTTAGATTTGAAGGATGCCTATTTTCTAGTTAACATACACCATGCATATAGGAAATACTTACGATTTAGATTTGAAGGTAACTTGTATGAATTTAACGTTCTCCCATTTGGCCTCAACACAGCACCATTTGTTTTTACAAAATTGTTGAAACCAGTGATGTGTTTAATGCGATCTTTAGGCTATCTATCTACTATTTATTTAGATGACATCTGTACGATAGCTAAAGATTACAAAAATTGTCTCAAAAACATAACTGAGACGAAATATGTCTTAGAATCGTTAGGATTCATTATAAATACTGAAAAAAGTCGTATGGTACCTAAACAAGAATGTAAATATCTAGGCTTTCTAATTGATTCCAAAAAACTACACATCAGCTTAACTAATGAAAAGAGGATTATCATTAAAAAAGAATTACATTCTTTTCGATGTAAGGATCGTTGTAAAATAAGAGAATTCGCACGACTAGTTGGTCTTCTCACCGCAAGTTGCCCTGCTCTTCAATATGGTTGGTTGTACACAAAAATGTTCGAAAGATGTAAATTTCTGGCATTAAATAAAACACAAAACTATGACAGATACATGTCGTTACCTGAAATTTTACAAAAGGATTTTTCTTGGTGGTTACGAGCCATTGATACAGCCGTCAACCCGATAAGACAGGATAACTATAGCTTAGAAATTTTCTCAGATGCAAGTAAAAAAGGATGGGGGGCAGCATGCGGTGGGGAGACGGCTAGTGGACAATGGAGTGTTGCGGAATCGAAGAAGCACATTAATTATTTGGAACTGTTAGCTGCTTTCTTAGGTTTACAGACATTTGCAAACCATCTTAATAATTGCCAGATATTATTACGCGTGGACAATACAACGGCTATTTCATACATCAACCGAATGGGCGGAGTCCGCTTCCAACACCTTAACGAAATGACAAAAAAGTTATGGGAATGGTGTGAAGCGCGCGAAATATATGTATTCGCTTCATACATAAGCTCTGAAGATAATGAAATAGCAGATGCAGAGTCACGAAAAATTCACCCAGACTCTGAATGGGAGTTAAAACAGGCTGCGTATAAAAAAATCACACATGTTTTAGGTAATCCTGATATTGACCTGTTCGCGTCTAGAGCTAACCACAAATGTCGGAAATATGTATCTTGGAACAGAGGCCCTGGGGCTTGTGCGATTAATGCTTTCACATTAAATTGGAAAAAATATTTATTTTATGCGTTTCCACCTTTTGCTATTATACTAAAAGTTTTAAGGAAAATAATAACGGATCAAGCAGAAGGCATACTAGTAGTCCCTTATTGGCCTACGCAACCTTGGTTTCCTTTGTTCCAAGAGCTTCTGTGTTCTGAGATCGTTCGATTTAAACCCAACGATAATGTCCTCCTGTCTGTATCCAACAGCATACCCAAGCTGACGCTGATTGCAGGGAAATTATCCGGACGGCACTACTGAGGAGAAGCGTGCCGCCATCCTCTTTGGATATCAGGACAGCTTCATTGTCCAGTAATTCTTTAAAACAATATAACACTGCGATTCGTCGTTGGGTAAGCCTTTGTAAAGACAATTCGTGGGACGTATACGAAGCGTCAATTCCGCAGATACTTTATTTTCTTACGAAACTTTTTCATTCGGGCCTTCAATATGGATCACTAAACAGCCATCGCTCTGCTCTGTCCTTGATCTTAGGATCGAGAGTAGGATCAGATGACCGTATTAGCAGACTATTTAAGGGATTTTATAGACTTCGGCCTCCTACCCCAAAATATGATCTTACTTGGGACCCTTCGTTAGTGTTGAATTATTTGGCAAATTGGCATCCCAACACTACTATAAGCTTAGAAAAACTAACTAAAAAAGTTACAACTCTCCTAGTACTTACAACAGCACATAGGGTGCAAAGTTTGAGTAAAATTACGTTAAAAAATATAACAGCTAGTGGTAACATAATACTTATCAAAATAACTGACGTTATTAAAACTTCACGTCCAGGTGCTAAGCAACCCTGTTTGAGTATTCCCTACTTCAAAGAACGTCCAGAAATATGTCCTGCGGATGCTCTAATGACATACATCGATAGGACAAAATCGATTAGAAATAATGAGGATAATCTCTTAATAAGTTTTAAAAAACCACATAAAGCAATAGCCACCAACAGTATTAGTCGATGGATAAAGGATATTCTATCTGAAAGTGGAATTGACACTTCTATTTTTTCTGCCCACTCCACACGGCACGCGTCTACGTCAGCCGCCCACAGAGCTGGCATCAGTGTTAATACCATACGTAGAACCGCCGGCTGGAGTGGCAACTCAACTGTTTTTGCAAAACATTACCATAGACATGTTCAATCAGACCAAACGCCACAATTAGCTTGGTCAATCCTAAATGATTGTCGTTAAATTTTTCTTTTGTTTTTATGTACAAATGAAAATAATAAGAAATCTAAGTTCTAATTTTGTTTATTATGAAGTTGATTTGTATAAGAAATATGTATTTCTCATTGTTGTACTTAAGTTTATATATGTATGTTAAGTTTATTAAATCTATTTAAATAAACTTTACGTTAATATTTCACGCTTTCAAAATCTACAAATTATTACCTAATCTCGAAGGACGAAGCAACGAATGTATAATTAGTGATTAAACGAACTTACCTAAGTGATGTTCTATCACAATTATACGAGTTGCTTCGTCCGAAGAGATTAGGTCCCTCCCTCCCTAGTTAAAAGTAAGTATATACCCCCATTGGTGAAATATTAAATTCGATTTGAGCTCCAGACTTTCAACTAAATGAGTAGCCGGTCAACCAATGTTCCTAGTAGTGTTGCGAGTACCCTCAACATTTTTTTTTTTTGCTTTTAACTTAGTGGATGAAAGGCGACACGATATGCGTTACTACAAATTATTACCTAATCTCTTCGGACGAAGCAACTCGTATAATTGTGATAGAACATCACTTAGGTAAGTTCGTTTAATCACTAATTATAAAGGTAAGTAGTAAACTACCGAATCTCTCGAACTTTGTTTCCCCTTAAAGACTCTTCTGCGCATCTTTTTAATCTTTTTCATACATAAAAAGATTCTCCTAACAATAACAAACACAACAAAAAAAAATCAGGCTCAGCTGCTCTCGAGATTTGCACTTCCTAACATAATATTTTGTGATTCATTTTTATATTATAGAAGATTACACAAAATACCTACTATATTAATCTTGATCTAGAATTTACGAAGAAGAGTGCCAGTAAAGTCGCAGGCAAATACTTACATATTTAAAATAAAACGAGGTCAATGTCAAGTAAAACTTTCCGCTACATATTTCTAAGTTCATACGCATAAATTGCAAATGATGGAAACCTGCGTACAAAATTAACATCCAAATAGCCTTTTTTGAATGTAAAAAATAGAATATGAATAATTGTATATATTAATTACCTATTTTAGACGTTTAAACATGGAATTTAACTAACAAAAATTAATAATTTCTTTTTTTCGAGCTGTTATAAACAAGTTTCTAGTTTTAAGTAAAAGCGTAACTAATCTAATCAGATAACAATTTGGGATAGCTCTTATCTAGCACAGTCAGCGTAAATGGGGCCGATCATTTCGAAATCAAAATTATGTAATAGTTATAACGTGTGCGATCCGGAGGGAGTCGTAGGAGCACTGGCTCTAATATAAGTACCTAATATACTATATTCTTATCTTATCATATCACACATATTTTCACAGAAGATTGTGCGTTTACATAGCATGGCAATACGATTTACCTAGGTGGCTATACACTATACCCACCTAATCTAGATTTTCATTGATATTATGTCATTGATATTTGATTTTTTATGGGATAAGCCGGTAAACTTGCATACGGATCACCTGATGGTAAGCAATTGTCGTCGCCCATGGACACCTCGAACATAGACCCTTGGATTGGGGAGATTGGGCAAGGGGGGGGGGGGGTGATGCCTCCGGTAAGCTCACTTACACTTAGAAACACAACGCAAGCGTTTTTTCACGTCCGTTTTCTGTGAGGCCGTGGTATCAGTCTCGTCGAGCCGGCTCATTCGTACCAATGCACTCTCCTACACTTGAATATCGATTGATTGATATACGATTTTATATTGACATTTATGTAGCAAAAGCTTAACTTCATAGAATATTACCAACCTAGAAAAAAAAGTTGTTAAAATGAAATGACCTCATTAGAATGATATGTTTTTTTATGTCATAAGCGCCCATGGACACCTAGAACACCAGAGGCGTTACAAGTGCGTTACGGGCTTTTTGGGGATTATGAGTTTGAGGATCGTTGGGGATTCAGGGATTGGGGAGATTGGGGAAGGGGAGGGTAATTGAGCCTCCGGTAATGTGGTGGAAAATTGTCACTGTACACTCCACTTAGCCAGTGTTGGAATGTACGAAAGTGATGTATTTACCCTACCTTAATGCAATAAACTGCACAATTATGTACACACTAACAGATTACAAGTTACACGAATATGACAGTAAGTGGAGTTACGCGTAAACCAGACTGTGTACTATACTTGTATGTAGTACATAACAACCTATGTGAACAGCACACCTGAG